AGACTGGCGCTCCCCACCCGTGGCTCCCTGTGCGCCGGAAGCCCTCCTTCCGGGAAACCACGAGGCCGGGAGTGAGTCGCCGGTCGGGGAGTGTTTTGAAGAGGATTAATGACAATGTGTCTTTTACTGTAATGAACTTAATTAAACATTCACTGTGTACTTTGATCATACCTAGTATGTACTATGAACATAGTCTGGCTGTGTAGAGCCCTGGAAGGTCACTCTGATTCTATCAAAATGTAACAGTTCTGTGTGATAGAACAAAAGTTAACATTTACCTAACTCATAAAAAATGTTTTGAGGTGCGGTTATTTTCATTATGACAGTTTTACAGATAAGAAAACAGGTTGGTTAAGTAATGTGTCCTCAATCACGAAAGCGTGAGTGGAAGAATTGGGAGTGAGCCAGGCCGGGAAGCACGGCTGGGTCGAGAGGTACAAGTTTTAAGTGGCAGGGACGAATGCCGGGTGACTAGGTCCCGGGAGCGCTGCCTCGGAAGGGCTCAGTGCTGGTCTGGAGGACTGAGCTCTTGCGAGAGCTGGCTGTTGTGTAGTGTCAGCAAGTTGTTAGGCGCTTACAACACACCTGGCTTTTCTGCATGCAACCAGTTTGCCCTGTTTCTCCACCATGATGTAATGTGGCCAGACAGCCCGGATCAGGATGCTGGCACCATGCTGTTCGAACACCCAGCCACCCCAATTAAGTCAAATTGACTTCCCGACTTAATAAAACAGCCTACCACAAGTATTTCATTCTAGCAACACCAAGCAGACTAACCTAGGGTCAGTCTGTTTAATATTCCAAAGGAGATCAAAATGGCTTTTCAGTTCAGGTAGCAGAAAACAGTGCTCACCCTGTCTTTCCCACCATCCATGATCCTACCCTTCTCAGTAGGACTTACCACCCTCACCCACACACCACAGACATCATCCTTTGTGGCCTGCCTTTCTGACAGAGGTTAAACTTAGCCACTCCTGAAACAAGATGTCCCTAGACATGCACAAACTGTGATAAATAAAAAGCAGCAGTACTCCACCTCAAACAAGATCTTTCAGACTTAGAACATCTGTTCACACAAATAGGCAGTCTTCCCAGGCTTCCTCAGAGCCCCCTGTGGGCAGACAACACTTTCCAACTCAGCCTCACTGAGGGCGAAGTATTTCTCTAGAGTCTGAGTCCTGTTCTTCTATGGGGAAAACTCACTCTCCCCGTAAAATGCATGCAGCAACCAACTGACAAGCTGTTCAAAGAAGTTCACCTTAAACAGACTTTTTAAGGGATGTATAATTGGTGGTGCTCTAAAATAATATGATCTCCCTGAAGAATTGTGAAATAGCTAGAAAAATCACACTCACATTCATCCATCCCGGCAGTTCCACTTCTAGAAATGCATCCCGAAATGCACTGGCAAAACAAACCATGACTCACAGGTAAGATTCCAACACCCCGGCATTAGCAAGCAAAGGACTGGAAGCAGCCCAACGTGCATCTGTGGGGGCGGCAACAACCCTGGTACACTGACACGGAGGAATGCTCCACCGCGCAGGAGTGCAAAGGCCTTACAGAGTGACACAGTGATCTCCATGAATACTTCTAAGTGACAGAGGGGTACACAACAGCTGTAGAACGCCATCTTTTGTGGAAAAAGAAATTGTGAAAATACATACAGATTTTTTGGTACTTACAGAAAGACACTGAAGGGTAAATTAATAAGTGATTTTTTAAGAAGTAGCTACAAATGGTGGACAGAAGGAATAATCTGAAGGGGACATGGATGAAAGGGACTCCTGTGTCAAAGTCAAGACTTTGAAAACAAATGGCCTTTACACATTCAAAAAATAATTAAATGAAAAAGAAGGGACACAATCCTTGAGTGGGTTACACACAAACATATCCAACTGCATATTTAATTAGTGATAAAACTACAGAGAAAAAGATGTAGCATTCTGACCCTGCATCCTTAGTTGACTATATATATGCCCAGGATGATGGAGCAATTAAAAGTCTTGAATTCCAGTCAATATTTTATCAATCAAAATACAGGTATTACTTTGAATATTATTTTGAAATATATATGATAGTATAAACAATGCATACTGTTAGGAACCATAATTTTCAATGTAAGAGAACATATTCAAGTATAAAAGAAGTGAAAATCTTTCAGTGTTAAATCTGAAATGAACTGTAGGACAATCATGATAGTAGAAGGCTAATGGCTCTGATCTTGCCGTGACAGTACAGCTTTACAAACTGAAAGAATGATGAGAGCACATGAGGAAAATGTCTCGTTCTCAGTATTCACGGTGTGTGCGATGCACACTTGGCTTTAAAAAAAGTCAGTCTAGGGGACTGGGGCAAAAGGATCCAAGTTTGAGCCCAGACTGGGCAACGTGGCAACTTATCAAGGCTCTGCCTCAAAATAAGAAAGAAAAAAAAAGGGCTGAGGATATACAGCTCAGTGTAAAGGTCTTGCGTTCACTCTGGTGTCAGAAAAAAACAAGCCAATGAACAAACAGTACCATGAAGCCAAGTGAGCCAGTGCTGCTGCTGACCACGGGGCCGGGGGTTACCCTCACAGGAAGGGCGACCAGTGGGAGCGGCCACCGCACAGATCCGGATGGGTGGCAAATCCCATCTCCTGACCAGATGGCACTTCATCATTTTAAACTGCTTTACATGGCTCTAGGTATTTGTACTATATTTAATAATAAGCATTTATATTAAATATTGAGATTAGAATTATCAGTACAAACCCTTGATTATATTTCTTTTCAAAAATATGGATTTGCTAGCTCTGTCTGCTAAAGAGATGAGGACTCCTTCAGCACTCACTAAAAGGACAAAGTACTAGGCCCCTCCTGATGACATATGAGGCATAAGCATCTTCCACGCCTTTGAGCACCTCTGCAGAAAATCAGGCCTGAGTCAAAGCAAACCTTCACAGCTAACTGCAGTTACAGGAAACCCAGGGCAGGCAATGGCAGAGCAAGTTACACAGCTACACAGGAAGCAAATCTACAATGCAGAACATCCCACGTGACAACTGACCCAGTTTCCACACTATGGAGCGTTAAGTAAGACATGAAGGAGTATTGGATGGCTCTAAATTAAATAATTTATGAGAATAACAGCCAAATGTTTATTTGGATTCTGACTTAAACAAATCACTACCAAAAAAGCATTTTGACATCATTATGGCTTGTATCTCGATGTCCTCCCAAAGCTTCATTTCGTCTTAGGTGGGGCTTTTCAGAGGTGGCTGGATTAGGGTGTGTGAATGTGGATTCAGGGTCTGACACTGGGATTAAGGGTGGGTGGAATGAACTCAGTTTGTGAACTAAGCACCACTGTATAATATTCTATTAAAAACTTGTCAATTTGACAATTTCTTTTGTTAAAGGTTTAACCACTAGTGAAAAGTAATTTTATGAGAAAACCATAAACCATTTTATGAGAAATGAGAAAACCATTTTATGAGAAACACATTGTAAAATGTGTTTTATATAAACACATTTTATGTAAATGTGTTTATGAGAAAACACATTGTAAAAGTATTTAAATCAAAGTCTGTATTTAAAAAAAAAATCACATAATAGGTAGGAGCTATTTGTACATAAGTATTATTATTCTGTTTAATTCCTTGGAGTACTGGCTGAGAGATTAGGAAAAGTCACACCTGGATCTAAACCAAAGTCCACAAACTGCGGGTAGGTCAAGTCCAGTGCCTGTTTTTGCCTATTAAATTTTATTGTAACCCCAACACACTAATCCAATACCGTACTATCCATGGCTGCTCCTTGTGGTTCAACCCCAGGGCTGAGACTGCATGGCCTATAACACCTAAAATACCTGTTTCCTAGCCCTATACAAATACAAATCTTCCTGCCATCTAAAATCTCACGTTCTGCAGATCCTTAAGGAAGAAGGAGTATTTCTATTACATTTTATGCATGAAGTTCAAACGTTAGACTTTGCAGTATCTAAAGATCAAGGAAAGACACGCTAAGTAGCTGAAATGTGTAGTTCAGTTTCCAACTAGGTTGAAAAGACTCAACTGTTTAAGTCAAACAACAACAAAAAAGAGTCCTACAATGGGAACCCGCTCCCTTTCCTGCATCTTAGCCAATGACCCTGGCCAGCTGCCTGGACTCCTCCAGGTACCTGGGAAGGACTAGGGCTACTTCCTCCGAAAGTCTCCTGGTGAGCCGGGCGTGGTGGCACACGGCTGTAATCCCAGCACTCGGGAGGCTGAGGCAGGAGGATCATTGCGAGTTAGAGACCAGCCTGGGTGACAAAGTGAGCTTAAGGCCAGCCTGAACTGCATAGCGAGACCCTGTCTCAAAAAGACAAAAAAAAAAAAAAGTCTCCTGGTGGCACCAACAGCTTCCATTTCCAAACGAACAGGGAGCGAAAGGCAGGAAGTTTAGATGCAGAAAACATTCTTGCCAAATTCCTCCCATATGCTGAGAACTGAGCAAAGAGAAATTAAGAAATACATAAAAAAAAAGAGTTGATACTTTTAACCGACCTTTAAAAACTGAATTAGGAAAAAAACTCAGGAGAGGAGCCACACTTTTAACAGCTCTGGCTTTCGTGACGGGCCCCTAACACTGAAGCCCTCCCTTCTCATGTAACTTTCTGACCCGAAGCCCTGCGAAGGGCTACAGCTTGATTCCTCGCTCAAGCCAAGTAACGTTCAAATATGGTTCAACCCGTCATGCCCGCAAGTCCTTACCCCAGCCAAAGTCAAAATGTTTTCCAGTGATTTGGTCATTATGAGACGCTTCTTGGCACGAGTTACTGCAACATATAGTAAGTTCCATTCATCTTCAGAAAATGACTCTAAAGAAAGGAAAAACATAACTCAAGAGCCTGCTTAAAAGAACTATGATCTCACCTAAATCTTTACAACCCTCACTGATTCCTCCCGAAGCTAAGCAAGATTTGCTGCTTGTATATATGAAGTTTTCCGACAAACATCGACAGCAGAAACCTGGAAGACTAACCTTTAAGCCCTAGTATCTAAGGGCCTGGGGATATAGCTCAGTGGTGTAAGCGCCTGCCTGGCAAGCACAAGGTCCTGAGTTCAATTCCCAGCACCAAAAAAAAAAAAAAAAAGCCCTAGTATCTGTTAATTGATTATTCAACATTTGCAAGGTATCAAATGCAGTACCAATGTCCATTTTGCCAGCTTTCCTCCCAACACCAGTCACCCACAGAATGAAGCTACTGCAAATCAAGGCCATAGTGGGACCTGACACCCACGCTTTTTCCATTTCTTTACCTTGCCTCTTTGGATGGGCTCCGTCCAGTCTGGAACTGTCTTAAGTTGTCACAAGACAGTCAGGGGGAAAAAGACACATGAGGAAGTCCGTTCTACCCACCTTCTACTTCTCACCTCTCGGTCTCAGTACCTAGCACCACACAGCACTAGGTCTGCCCACAGACTAAAAGCCTCTGGACTGTACCCTTCAAATAGGCAGATTATTTGGCATATAAATTGTATCTCCACCAAGCACCCTCCCCAACACAAAGCAGACGATAATCGCTCTACGCTCACTTATTCTCCTCACGCCACTCCAACTGGGGTTCCATGCCATCTCTCCCCCTTTTTGGCTATCTTAATACCAGGGATGTTCAGTATTTTTATATTTTTATCATTTTAATATATGGTAGGCTCCAAATTTTGAATCTATAGGTAACAGCTTTTTTTGTTTAGAAACTTCAATTGGTTTTATTCTAAGATTCAAAACCAAAACAACAGGACTGCTGCTTTAGAGTTTAACAACTAGGCTTGGGTATAAATTTACTAAAAAGCAGACAAATGATAAAGTGTGCTATTTCATCTTTTATGATTTTTTTAATGAAAGAAGGAGAACTAAAGAAAAAACCAGTATGGTAAGCACGTCAATTGAATGTTTTAAAAAAGCTCAAGGATAAAGGGCAGATGTGAGCATAACTGGAAACACTCCTGACAGTGGCCCCTGTGGAAGTTCGATTTTTCTAAAAGCCACATTAGGAATCAAAAGTTTAAGACTAGAAGGTATTTTTGTTTTTTGTTTGTTTGGGTTTTTTCTTCTACAAGGACCCTAGAACAAGGTCACACCATTTAACCAAAATCCAGGCAGTCAAAAGGAAGCAGCCAGGCAATCCCTGACTGCTGAAACGAGAAGACCTCAGGAGCAACCAGTCTCCTTACCTACTCGGAAGTGAGGAAGCTGGCCAAGATTATGCCTGGCACAAGGCACTTTCACAAAATCATCCAGAACATGCACGGTATCGAACTCCAAGCCTTTGGCTTTGTGCACGGTGCCCAAAATGTACTCTGCAACAGAAAGACAGCACTCAGTTAGATGGGGGCTTCCCAGGGAAAGAAATAAGAGAAGAAAAAGATGTCCTTGCTGACGTGAAGCTTTGTAGTAAAAAGAGGAGTCAGAAGAAGAAACACTGCAGAGCAAATGTGTTGCAGAAACACCATTAAGAATCATACCCCAATGGCTGGGAATATAGCTCAGTGGCACAGCACCTGCCTGGCAAGCGCAAGGTCCTGAGTTCAATTTCCGGTACTGAGAAAAAAAAAAAAATCACATCCCAGGGCACAGAGCACCTTGACCCACCCTCTCTCTGCACTTGACAGGCAGGGACAAAGGCCGGGAGGGGGCTGTGGGGCTTGCCCGAAGTGACACGTCAGAGCTGTACTCAGAAACCCCACTCGGCTGGCTTGGAAGCGGCACAGTGCTGCGGACCCCGTAAGGAAGAGTGAGTGCCCTGTTTCACTCCCTCTCCTCTGGATTTATTTTAGGTGGAGATGGGGACTGAACGCAGGGCCTTAACTCTTCCTCTTAAACAGCACAGCCACTCGTGGTCACAGACACTTCAGGCAGCATGAAACACGAGAGGAAAATCTGTTCCTACTCTTGGAGGAAGTGAAGACACAGCCGCTTTCCCTACCTGCGAAGTCCAGATCTTCTATATGGCACTTCTCTATCCTTTCCACCAGTTCTGGAATCCTGATATTGTACTTCTCCACAACTGCAATCTTCGCTTCAAGCTCCTTGTCCTCCGCGGCAGTCACGTACCTCTTGAAGCCACTAAAGCCCTCTTTGTGCACCCATCTTCTGATGAATCTGTCTTTAATGATGAGGTTTCCTGAGGAGAACACAAGTGCAGTCACCAGGACGCAGGCCGTCCTGGCTCTTGGAGCTGGGAGACCCAGGTTCCAGTCCTGACTGCATCGCTAGCTCCCTGTGTGTGCCGAGGCCAGTCAGGGTGGTGGTTTCTCTGTCTCCAACTGAGGATCTACAGCCCCAGGCTCGAGAGCCTTACCGACTTCACAGGGATTTGAGATAGCGCAATCAGAAGGAAAACAAAAGCGAATGGAAATACCAGAGGTTACGTGGGGCCCAGTGCGGAGGTGTCAGTGGGTAAAGCTGCCCGGGAAGACGGATGAAGGGGAAGACAACCTAAAGGACCAATACTGGAAAGTAATGAGACTCCTGAGAGAAGGACCTAGAAAAATCTGTCAGTATCTCTGAAGACAAGAGGCCTCAGGCATTCCTCTCTTGGAGGGAAAAGGGCCACCTCTCCGGGAGGATGACAAGAACCCTGATGCAGAACCCGAGCTGTCCCCATCCCTGTCGCTGGAGTGCTGCCTTCCACTGCTCCAGGCCAGGGCTACTCACGTTTCTTCCGCTCTTCCTCTGGCTGAAGGAGGATCCAAATGTCAATGATTCTGTCCAATCCGAATGATTTAATCCCCTGAAAAAGTTTTTGGTGGATTTTTGTTTTGCTTCTTAACAAAACAAAATAAATCTACTGCAGGCGTGGGATCTTTACCCGAGATGGTTTCTCGGAAATATCTCAGACCACACCCAAGCTAAGTGAGCAACTTCACCAAGCACACAGCCCTGGGTTACTGTGTGGCCTGGAAACTCAGAATGATCAAATTCTAAATTTTAGCTACTACTTCAAACTCTTCCTATGTGTTTAAAAAAGGTGAGAGCTAGCAGCACACTGCTTTCTTACCAATAAAAGGGCAAGGTAAATCTACCTCCAGGAATAGGGAACGGTTACCACGAAGAAAACCGAATATAAAGTATCGAGTGGGTACACTTAGCACTGTTTCTTGTAAGACGGAAATAAAGAGTGTTTGTGGGTCTAGACTATTTATGATTTTAAAGATCTGCTCTTGGAAGAAGGGGGCTAATTGTGCCATAGTAACCCTGTTCTACCTAAACGGCACCTGCTGAACACCGGTTAGGGCTCCAGCCCTCACACGGTACCAGGCCCAGGAGATAGAATGCCTAGAGCTCCTCGCTCCAAGGGTTTTTCATGTTTTGGAGAAGGACAAATAAAACAGTGAAATAAGACAGGATACACTATAATTCACAAGCAGATATGGAATCACAATAATGACACATGCTACAGGTAGGAAGAGGATGCTGCACAGGAAAAGAGAACAGCTTACTTTATCTCGTACCCAAGACGGACGACAGTCCAAAAATACTATTCACTTCCAATAATGAAATGGTTAAATTATGCTCTATCCACTAGATGAACTATTATAAAGCGATTACAATAGCAATGAAAAAAAATACATTTGTATTGAGTGACAAAAGCATACATCTTTCTATATACCATAATTTCAATTATGCAAAAATATACTATAAAGACAAAGACAAAAATAATTAGCAAAAATGAGAAGTAGCACTGAAATACTGGGGCTATATGTAATTTTTCATTTTAGCTCCAAAATTTCTATCACATGGATGTATAATCTTTATTTAAAAAAAAAAAAGAAATATCAAACACCTTTTGATTATGAATCACTGACTACATATATTGAGTACCTAGCAACTGGTAGGCCCTCAAACATATTTTCTATAAATGAACATCTTTTGCTTCCTTGTATCCTAACTCCCTGTGAAACAGGTCAGGGAGAGGCGTTGTTCTGTCTTAGAGATGGAGAGAGTGAGGAGCAGTAAGTTGTGACTTGCCCCAAGCCACACAAGTTAGTGACAGAGCCAGAGCTAGAACCCAGGGTTTATCTCCAAGTGGTTTAGAGTCCCTGGTGCTGCCCGTGTGCTGACAGCATGGTCAGAAAAGCCTCCAGCAGAAAGCAGCCTCACTACATAGCCCGCTGTAAGAGGAGCACTCATTTGCTAAAGAATTAAAGAAAAGATCCCCCATCCTTACTGGATCTGACTTTGCAGTAATGTTTCACTAGCCTAATCAGAGTTGCCAAGAATAAAAACTTCAGTCATGATCCAGTCTGGTGAAAAGAGGCAAAAACGAAAAACTCTCCTGTACAAATCCTAACGAGGCTGGGCATTTTCATTGGCCATGTTTGTTTACAATGCTTCTATGCATAAAGAAGTCAACAGAAATTTATTCTTACCCCAATCAAATGTATCCTTGACGGTACGTCTCCCTCAGTCACCCGTACAGCCTCATCAAACACATTGGCATTTGTCCGGGACAACAGAGCGACTTGTCCCTTTGTATCACCTCGAATGCCACCTTTGGGGAGAAAGCACAAATTCTGTGGCAAATCAAACTACACAGCACAATCAATTTTTGTAGCAAATATAAGAACGTTAAAAGCCTTACTCTGGTGATTTCCTCCAACCAGCGTCTTTTTCCTCACTCTCTTGCAGACATCCAAGATAGTAGCTCCCACATAGGCTATCTCCACACCAAACCTAAAACTCTGTTGCAAAACAAAGCAGAAGGAGTTGGCAACTGCCTTCATGCACGCGAGCTCACTTCCATCACTGCCGATCCCCGACTCACCCGACGTGGGAAGGGGATCTGGAAATTTCCTACAGTGAAACATTTGTACCCGAACAGGAGCCTGGTGATCAAGGAATTTCTGCCTTTATTTTAGGTTAAAAATAGCATTTTCTGTCTTGAAATCCTGGAGGGATCTCTTTTTCCTCCGCCTTACCGCCAAATCCAAATGCTGACAGATCCTCCACTGTTCTGTTTCTCCTATAATTCCCTACCACGACTGCTGCCTCCCTAGACACTCGGACTTCACACCTCACCTAACTGGCCTCTTCACCTCTAGCCTCCTGTCATTGTCAATCAGTTCTCTCTCCCTCTGCCAGGTCGGTCTCTCCCCAGAATCTTTTAAGACATTCCTTAGCTACAGAAAGAGAAGAGCAATGCACATGGGGGGAAAAAAGAGAGAGAACAAGGGATGTACTTCACCCTCAGGCTTCTTCACAACCTAGATAATCTTTATTTTCTATTATTTCTCAAATCCAATAGTAAGCTTTCCTTTTAAGCAAATCTATCCCTTTTCCAAAATCAAATATTACAAAGTTTAAGCTACACAAAAAGTGAACAGAAGGTATGGGTCTCTCCCCTTGCCTCTGAGACTCCTTCCCCAGTAATTACTAATGACTGCCCTGCTCAACCCAGCCAAGCAGAACGACCACTACTGAGCATTGCCGGTCTCAGCTCACGCTGCCTCTACTGGCCCAGCAGCACTTCGCCACTATCTTAATCATTTCCTACCCCAGCCCCAACCCTGTTCCTTGACCACTCCAGCTAGAAAGACACTGTTCTTCCCCAAATGCCTGGTATTCACTGCCTTTTCCCATGTACTCACTCACAATTTCAAGTAGTAAAATTACATGTTTTGGTGAACAGCAATAATACAGTCAAAGGAAAACTAAACTTTCAACAAATAGTATTTTGTTGCTGTAAAACTATTTGGAGTAAACCATAACCCAAATTATAAATTCTCCTGAGTGCACATTGTGATACACAAATCACCGAATAAACAAATATCTTTATGCTATCTTGTAACGTGAGAGGAAAAAAAGTTCCAAATAATTCATGAAATACTCTAAAGTTTATTCCCCAAAGTACGGGCTCGGTGCAGGGACCTCCCTCCAGTACGCAGGAGGACAGTGAAGAAACATGACAAATGTTGCTTTAGCCAGGTGCGCAAGGTCAACATCAACAGCCATAAACCATATCAGTAAGACTCACCCTTGATGTCATGTGATAAAACTGGGACTTTATCTCTATGCCCTGCCTCCCAAAACCAAAACCTTAGTCTAATCCTAAGAAAAACATCTGACAAATTCTAGTGTAGGGTCATATAGATAGATCTGAACAGAACTTCTCAAAATTGTCAAGGTCATCAAAAGGTTTCTCATGAAAGGGAAGTATGAAAAACCGTCATAGTCTGGAAAAGGCTAAGGAAACACGACTGTGTGTAACATGACATCCTGGATGGAATCCTGGAACAGCAAAAGGCATTATTTAGAAACTAAAGAAATCTAAATAAACTTTGGACTTTATAATACATCAAAACTGGTTCAGAGTTTGTGGCAGGTGTTCCACATTCACGTAAGATGTTAACACAGTCCTAGGGGAAAGTGAATGCAGGGTATATGAGAATTCTTTGTATTCTCATCTCAGTTCTTCTGTAAATCTGTAACTGTTCTACAAAAAGTAAGATTCCTGGGCATGGCAGTTAATGCTTGTAATTCCAGCTACTCAGAAGGCTGAGGCAGGCTGGGGAACTGGAGGTCAGCCTAGGCAGCACAGTTATACCTTGTCTCAAAAAAGATAAAAAGCCAACTAACAAAAAATTTCAAACAAACAAAAGATCAATTAAAAAAACAAAAGTACTCTGAACTCATGCCACCTAAAACACTACAGTCATCAGAACCCAAGGGAGGAGAATTACAAGACTCCGGAGACCTCTAAGTAACACAGCAAAGCACAGTATAGTGCATTCCTTAATACAAATGACACACCGCATATCCTTTAGGTAGAAGGAATTTTTATTAAAAGGAAATTGCAAACCTCTGGTCTCAGGACTTTTCACACTTTTACAAGCTGAGGTTTCCAAAGACCTTTTACATGATGTGTATATATCCATATTTACCATATTAAACAATGCACTTAAAAATAATAATAGCAATCCATTACATGATAGCCTAAAGAATACTGCTTTGAAGCATAACTGTATTTCCTGAAACACAAAAAATAGTAAAAAAAAAAAAAACAACCAAAAGAGTGGCATTATTTTGACATTTTTTACAAATCTCAAACTCCTGGATTCCCGTAATTACATCTGCATTCAGTTTTGACACGTTGTCACGGCTAAGATTATGCAGAAAATTCAGCCTCAAAGAAAACATGTACTTGGAAAGGGAGGAATGGTTAGTCACCTTTGTGCAAAGTCAAGGGCCCTGAGCTGCCACGTTCACCACGGCAGACACACGTGGCTCCAAAATTTCAAGTCTACTTAACAGCAAGCATCTTATATTTGAAAAAAAAATATTTGGCTATAAACACTGTTAGCTGTTTTCCTTGATATCAGTGCTCATTTCAATTATATTGAGGAAATACCAACTACCCAGCTCAGAGTAACCAAAGGGCATCTATAATGTGTTTTTCCAAATGGAAACGGCACTACAAGAATGAAGTAGCCAGCTCAGCGCCCCACTCCACTGTAACTGCCGCTCGCGGGCAGCCACAGGGCTTCAGTCCACGGCAGAAGCGCTCTGTCAGCACGGCCCGTTTCAATGTGCCGAGGATTAGAAAGACTCAAGCATCAGCAGGTAACGAGCTAATCACTTCTGCGTACTCACCAAGGACACTGTTAAGTGAGCTGCTTGTTTTTAGCTCTGAATGCGTTGAAGGTCTGTGACTGCTGGTCTGGTTTCGTGCCCAGGCCTGATTCATGCGTCGGCACTAGCAGCTCTACGCGCTATCAGTGCAAACGTGACGTGACCAGCAAAGGCAACGAGGCACAACGGAAACAGACCTCCTAGGAACCACGCCTCAAGAACCACCGCTGCAAAGTGAGGATGTGCTATATGCTGTGAACCTAGCAAAACGCCTCACCCAGTGCCTGGTGCATACGAAGTGAGGAGGGAAATATCACGCTTGCTTATACACTTCGGGGACCCAGAAGCAGACAGAGCTCTTACCTGTGTGAGATAGAAGACGTGAGTGTGGGGAACTGTGAACAGAGCGTTGACTGCACCGCGGAAGGTATAGATCTGTTGGTGTGGGTCCCCTACGAAGATCTTCCCACACGGCTGAGACAGAACTATATTCATGATAGCTGCAACCAAGAGGAGGAAAAATGAGAAACCTGAAGGTCTAATCATGCAGAAAAAAAATCATGTTTAAAAAAGAGAAGGATGAAAATGGTTTCACAAAATGGTTTTCACAAAAGTAAGGCAGCACACGCTGGACAACAATGCTGTCTTTTCCTGCAGGGTAGGTACTCAATTAAAAAGATTATAACATACAAAGAAACAGTTTGGCCCTGGGAACACAGATTATTTCTAATCCTAGATGAATCACTCAGTGTAAGAAAACACATAGGCAAATATAAAAGCAGGTAAATGGTGTTTTCTCTAATATTATAAGACTCAAATATGACTACACGACCTAGCAAGTCATGCTCATAACACACCTGGTCTCCACTAACCACTTGAAAAATATGCAACACAAACACTCTAGGCAGACATGTTTTCCCACTTAGCACGAGTCTAGGTTTCTACCCTTTGATGAGCTACTCAGTCAACACTGTAACAACTTGAGTAAAATATGAAGAAAGATAAATCTGCTTTGGATGAGAGGAAGAGACAAGTGAAATAAAAAGGATTTCTGAATGGCTAAGTATCATTTATTCCTCTTCTTTGGCACAAATAAGAATAATCAACTTATCCCACTCGTGTCTTCTTACACAATCATGACGCTGTTTCTACGTATTGAGACTACGGGTGTCCTGAATAGTTTATCACCTGGAGTACAGTCCTGTGCCTCATCCACAAAGATGGCGTCAAAAGAGGCAAGTGAAGGCTTGCTTAGCTGCCAGAGTTTCAGGTAGCCTGGAAGAGGGGAGCAGCGAGAGCCGTAACTCATAAGGAAAGCAGTCCCACGGAACAGAAACCACGTCTAAAACTTGCCTACCGTCGTGAGTCATTTGGTAAGCCTCTTCTTTGCACTCCCCCAGCTTCCGCATGTTGTCCCACAGTCGGCTCGCTTCAAGGACACCATTCTAAAAAGCAAATGGTAGGGGAACCCCGAGTTTAAGACCCTAGAGAAGACAGCAGCCGGGAGCCACTTCAGCTTCTACATGCAGCAGCAGGAATGAAGGGAGCATCACAAAAAGGGGCGCTGTCTTCACAGCAACCTTCTAACACGTGCAGGGTTTTGAGGGCCAAGACAGTGAGAAACTGAGGCCACACCAGGCATGCTGGAGCAATGATCGAAGAGCACAACAGCTGATGAGCCAGAAAAGGCTCGATTATTCTCCTAGATTTATGACTGACAATTCAAAAAGAATAGCAAATGACTAACCAAGAAAAGACACTCTTCCAATAGCAAAGTAAAAAAATTAGAATAAGACTCCAAATTATCAGGTAAGATCAGATTCTGGGTCCAGAAGACCCAGTGACAAGTTCCTAAACTGTGGGCAGTCACTCAATATTCCTGTCTATTAAATGGGAGGACTGTGACGAGGATTGAAATGTCTGCATTCTCCCAAGAGAAACCACCGCAGAACTCGTAGGTGCCGTGACAGGTCTATGATTTCACCTGTTCGCCTTCAATTTCCTATGAACAATTCTGAAGAAATAGAAGACAGAAGTGTAAGACCAGATCCCCAAAATGTAAGTATTTGATACTCACCAGTTTCTCACTCTGTTCAACCATGACTCTTTGTCCCTGGCTGTTCTTACACCAAATAGGCACGTGATCAATAGTCAGCTCTTCGTCAGCCGAGGCAAAGAAGTTTTCTAAAGTCTTACACACTAGCTTGGCCCTTATGAATCCACCTTTCCCTTCAGCAAGGACAGAATTGACCATGAAAGGTGTTAACTTGAAGAGATTCAACTTCTTCTTTAGCTGGTACCTGCAATGCATATCCCAAGTGAATAGTATCTGGCTTTACTGGCACTACCGGATTTAGTGCCTCCCCACTTCTCTGCAATGACATTACAAAGTCACTCCAGACATCATTCCCAGGCCTTCTGCAAGGTCCATGTCTGCGCTGAAAGTGGCTTACGATAGGTTCTCAGTAACTCATGTATTACAATCCAGAAACGGAATCAGCTCTCAGCAGATACTATCATTCCAAGGAGTGGTCCAGGCTTCAAGTGGCCCCGAAGGGAACACTCAAAGTTCCTTGGAGCCTTATGTCCAGAACACTTGCATATACGCAGCTCCACCCACTCTCTCCCAGGACAGCTTAAAACTTATCAGGCTTTGTAATATCCTAAACCTTAAACAAATCATTTTAACTTTCTGTTCTTCAATTCTACAAATACAAGAATGCCCCTCTCAGCATAATAGCTATCTGTAAACAATATATTTTTACAAGGTCAAAGTACAAATCACTAAAACTATCTTTTCCCTGCCTATAAATAGAGATAACAGCCTTACATTTTCTTAGTGTTGTCGAGTAAGTTCATATGTGATTACAACAATTACTATATGAAAAACAATATCAGAAATGACAATGACATTAGCCCTAGTAATGCTCACTTCCGCCCAACGTGTCCATAGGCCATGGAATGGAAGGTTTTGCAGATGACATTGCTGGGGAAGACGAGCTCAGCCTGCTTTGCGATGCTCTTGTTGAATGTCACATACAGAAACCTGCTCTCAGACCACTTCTCAGCATACTTGACCAGGGTAGAGGTCTTCCCGGTGCCTGCAGAAGCCAAGAGGAGAGGATTGACCCTCTGATCAGCAAAGCATTCCAAAGAATTTCCCAATCAGGTCTTGTTTAGGTTTATCCCACATCTGGCTTGAGATCAAGACTGGTTTCAATATTGGTAAAAGCAGTGCCATAAAAAGAACAGCAGATTTTATATCAGATTAAGGTGGACTAGGGCTTTGGTTGTGGCAGATTCCAGCTGAATAACAAAAGGCAAGTCATTTCCCTGAGTTTTAGTCTGCTCCTAAGCAATGCACTTGCGATTAAAAAATGTGATTTAAATTTAGAAATACTTTATTATGGCACCAGGATGGTGGCACATGCTGTAATCCCAGCACTTGAGAGGCTGAGGCAGGCAGGTTGCTGTATTCAAGGCCAGCCTGAATCACACAGTAAAACCCTATCTCAAAATAGAGGGATAAAATTATGGAAAAAGATACATAGCCATTAAAACCCCTCAAAATATTCCACCTCACTTCCAATACATTTATCCCACCATCCTTGCCACCTTCTGAAGCAGGGCTGGAAGTCCTTTTTCATGAGCATCTTTAGTTGCATTGTTATGGCTGCCTTGATGTCCTAAATCAACTGAAAACATTTACCTCTGATGGTCATTTTGAAAAGCCAAAGTCACACAGCGCCAGATCTAGTGAATAAAGTAGATAAGGAGATACTGTAATATTTTGACGAACTTGTCTTTCTGTTGGGTAGTGCTCGGCAGCAGCATTCACTGTATTTCTGGTCATATTTTGTAAGGACACTCACGAAAGAGGACTTCCAGCACTGCTTCACAAACTGGCGAGAATGATGGGATAAATACCTCTAAAGGAAGGGAGGGTATTCCAAGGGGCATTAATGGCAATATGTCTTTTACTGTAATCAGCTGTTTTATTTAAACATACACCATAATTTTTAATCGGTCTTTGTATGTGAGGAACACTTAATTGTAGAGTTTGTGAGCACAAAGATAACCATCAAGGTCTCCAGCAGCAGCAGTTCAGTAGGCCGTGGCTACCACGGACGTGATAAGTCTTTCATGCTTCTAAAGCACGAGCATGCACATGGAGCCCAGAATTCTGAGCCCCTCTGGACCTCTGCCTGGAATGCCTCTCCACTATTCACTTTTCAGTTATTCAATCTGACATTCACTTGACAAGTGCACAACACCTCCTGATCTGTTCAGCTGCATACTAAACACTGTGAGATATTTTTTAAAACATATATAATAATCTAATTGGAAATTAAAAAAACAACACAAGGTGAAACACAAAAGGAAAGTATGATAACACAGTATAGTGAAAAGGGAATAATCTGAAACCAAAAACACTCACCTGTAAAGAAGAAAAAGAGTGAATCTTTCCCTACCTGACAAGGCTATTTTGAAGATCGATGAAGTAATTTGGAAGTATTTTTAAAATGCACATGTTGGGCATGTTCACTATGTAGTAAAATAATTAACATGATTACTGAAAATAGTTTCACTAGGTACTAAATAATTAACAGATGATTAGTTACAGTAGGAGTTCAGCAATCATATATTTAGGACCAAATGACTGAAGTCTTCCTTAGGAAGAAGCAGAAATGATGAGAGTCAAGACAGCACACCAAAGAAAGGAAGACAAAAAGGAAGAGTGGGGAGGGAGAAAAAGCGGGCCCGAGAGCCGGAGGAAGAAGAAAGACGGGAAGGGAAGGAGAGCAAAGACAGGAAGGCGCGTCTCTGGAGAGGTGTGGAGCAGCTTCGGATCCTGTCTCTACCACTTATTGCTTATTTAATCTGCAGCAAGTCTCTCTGAGCTTCAGCGTCTTTATCAGTAACTAACCACCCTGACAGAATGTTGCTGGCACAAGCACCCACACCAGGCACACTGCAGGCATTTCATAAATTAAACTGTTGGCAGCATTTTTAGGCAGAAAAGTAGAGTAGCAGGAGGGGAGTCCAGGTAGAGAAAACAGCATGAGCTTCCGATCAGACAAAGGACCACGAGTACTTCAGGAGACCGAGCAGGTCAGCGCAGCTGACTGAGGAAGAACCGTCACAACATATTCAGGAAAGTAGCTGGAGTCAAATGAAAGAAGGTTCCCCCAAATATCCTCCAAAATCAGGACGTGCTGAAACCTCCGAGCAGATTAACATGACCTGCCCTTCCCAAAGCCATCAGGGTCTGAGCATATTGAACACTAAGTGATGTGCTCAATCAATCCCTGTGCTAAAGCCTACCAATTAACGCCTATGAACGACCTGTCTAAATAGGAACTCTCATGTGAACGCTTCCTAGAGTATCAAGAGAAACCTTGACTTTGATGCTAGTTTCAAGACTCAGTGAGTCTACCCAAAACCACCAAATTATATAAAATACTTTTGAGACTATATGATGGAATTAGCTCAATAAAAGATCACGGTAAAGGTGCTCTGGCAGGTAGCAGGAAGGGGAATGCAGTGGTAAGGGAAACAACCACATCGTGAACCTGACCCTCTAGTCCAGGAACCTAAATGAGCTCCCTTACCTGCAAATGCCATGATTTTCACCACCTGGAGAGGTTCCATCTTATGGTTCAGAATCAGCTGCTGTTCATGTGTAAGCTGGATGGTTGTTTTCTTGCTATAAGCATTACAGAAGAGAAATCAGAAGAATAGAAAAGAATTTAAAAGCTCAGGGAATACTGTCCAAAAACCAAACAGGCAAACTGGACACACAAAATTTGGCACCCTGGGGGATAAAAACGCTTGAAACCTTGACTTTGATGCTAGTTTCAAGACTCAGTGAGTCTACCCAAAACCACCAAATTATATAAAATTGGTGAAATTTACATAATGTGAATTAGGCTTCAATAAAGTTGCCAAACAAAACACGTCCCTCCTTACATATGAAAATGAGTCAAGAATGGAAGACAACACACACATCCCCACTTAGAACACGTACGCACCCGGGCCAGACAGATGGCTCTTCTTTAACTTTGGTGGCCTGAGTACAGGAATTCTCTTGAAGATACAGGCAATAGAAAATGTTATAGTGAATCCTAATAGGGAAAAAACAAGCAGATTTAGAGACTTTCAAATATAAGTCACAATCTGTACATTTCTCCTCAGATGTACTCAAGCTTCTTACCACTTCTATTTTATTTATTTTTTTGTCTTTTTGAGACAGTGTCTTGCTATGCAGTTCAGGCTGGCCTCGAGCTCACTTTGTAGCCCAGGCTGGTCTCGAACCTATAATGATCCTACTGCCTCCGCTTCCCGAGTGCTGGGATTACAGGTGTGCACCACCATGCCTGGCTGCTTCTAAAAAAAAAAATACCTCCTACCACTTTATGAAAAAATGGAAAGAAAAGAAAAGAAATGGGATACAACATAAACCACACTTGACTAAAACCTAACTCAGAAATGTGGCGAACACTCAGACATTTCTGGAGAATAATGTTCCCTCCTTACACCTCACCCAGGACTGGACTCCTGTTCATCTGGTGCTCCCAGCCACATTGCGTCTGGGGCTCACTAATTTCTGCGGCCACTGTCCTTCCCTGAAGAAGAGTCTTCCTCTTAGGCTTCCGCTGCCTCTCAAGCACTGGCTGAGCTGTCATGCTACCTGGCCCCGCCACTCCAGATCAGAGGGTGGGCCTCTCAAAGTAGCCAACCTTACTATGGACTTTATTCCAACTTTTAATCATGGCCTCCAAGACGTCCCCTCACACGGTCTCCATCTGTCTCTCAGAATCTTACACCGGTCTCTTCCTTAGTCACCAGTCTTGCCACGCTGGGCCTTTTCTCTTCCTCATACATACTGAACGCATTCCTTCTTTGAGCCCTTGAGTAATTTATTTCTTCTCTCAAAATGCTCTTCCCTCAAACCTCAAAATGGTGGCTCCACTTTGACATTCAGATGTTGCTTCCTCAGAGAAGCATTTTCTCTTGCAATCTGAGGCAATGTTCTCCACCTCCCTCTCATGTCACACTGTTCTATTTTCTCTCCAACACTTACACTAAGATGTTCTATTTCACACACTTGCTTAGGCATTCTGTCTTCTGCCACTAGAATAACAAACGTGTCTACCTTCTTCACAGGAGAGTTGCCAGTGCCTGTATAGCTATTTGACATGCAGCAGGAGTGTGGTATTTGCTGAACACACAGATCCCTCAGAATACTGACCTGGGCCTATACCATCACTCTGGTGGAGGAAACCACCAAGGTCACTCTGAAACAGCACTCACACACTACAGCCTTTTACACCCTCAGATGATAAAGTGGATGAGACGGTTACACGTTATTTATAGCCCACCTCCAAAGTTAAAAGTGGAGAAAACAGATCCTAATGTTTTCCTGGGAAAATATAATCACATACAAATAGGATGGTTTATCTTAGTGAGGGGGCATCACCTAAGGCTTCGCTACCCATGAATGTAAAAACTGCCTTAGGTTTTCTCTCATTTTTGGAGATAGGGTCATACCCAAATTCAAGACCCTCTTGCTTCAGCCTCCCAAGAGCTGGGATTACAGGCATGAGCCACCACACCCAGCCTCAGTGAGATCTCACAGTCTTACGGCACTTTGTGTTCACCCCGTGCTGTTGACCTCCGGGTACACATGAGATTCTCCCAGTCTCTTCACTCTACAGAAGAAGCTGAGGCTGCGCACAGTCTCATGGCTGGCCCCATTTTCCTGATGTCCCAAGGTGAATGTCAGTGAGTGGCAGGGCAAGGACCAGTACCAAGCTAGGACCTCCTCATTCTCCCACAGCGTCTCCTCCCATCGTCCAGGACAGTACCTATTGCTGATGTTGATCCCCTTCTCCCTCATGGCGTAGAGGAGCACAGCTATGCAGTATAAGGTCTCGGTGATATCCGGCATGGTCACTGTGGAGCTGGGTCTTCTGAGGCAGAAAAGTAGCTGCTGGATGTCATTCACACTGCTGGAGAGGAGCACCATGGCTGCCACCAAAGCCCAGACATTAACGCCCTGCAAAGTGAGATGCACAGGATGGGAGGAGAGGCCCTGATGCAGGCCACAATCAGGAAGCACTGCACCAGAACACTGGTAAGGAAAGGTGGGTCTGGGGCTCGGGCGCCATCAACAGGTCGTCTGAACTGAGCCCAACTTTGACTGGGAAACAGAACGTTCCTTTTTGCCCTGGGTTCCCTCTTCTCGTCACTTGTGGATGAAAGGTCTTGGTTTTCTTTAATTAAAGAACTCTTATAAAGTACCTAACATAGACCCTTGCACCACAAAAACCCTCACAGAGTTCCCACTCGTGTCGCACCCCTCCTCTCCAGGTCAGTGTGAGCTCTGAAGTCCATAGGGAGGCAGCAGGGTGAAAACAAAACAACTGGCTAACGAGTGGCTACAGCTACCGGGAAGGGACAAAAGATGGAGACAGAAAAAAGACTGCAATCTTGGTTGGGCACATCAAGACGATCAATTCCTTAGCATTATGACGCTAATTTATCTTTATTTCTATTATGTAATCATTATTATTAAATATTAAGTTAAATGAATATTAATTTACTTAAAACAATTTTGTAAAGACGGTAATGCTCCATGCCGCTGATGTCTATTCGTTTATTGAAAGGAACAGTTAATGCTTAAATCCTTTTTTCTTGACCAAGTGTGCATGCTTATATGTGGTAATCTGAGCAACTAGTTTGAAGACAACAATATGCAATATAAGAACCATTGCTGAATTCCTACCATCTTGTTTACTGAAGCTCTATATCGTTTCTAATGTTTTCTTTTTATTACTTTTTATTCTCTTTAATTGTTTGATCAATCTCACATTCTTACATCTGGCGGTCTGAGCATCTTCACTGAAGATAACAATATGTAATATAACAACCACTGTTAATTCCTATCATCTTATTTTGAAATCCTGTTATTGTTTTTATTGTTTTTGTCTTCTTGTTATTTTGTTATTTTTTTCTCTTAAAAAAAAGCCAGTAATGCTCCACTGAGTAATGCCTAAGTAACTGTTCAGCAACACAAAAAGACGAGCGGACACATATCTTTCTCATCCTGCCATTAGTACGTGTGTCCTTGTTAAAGAGTGCATTTCAAGAAAGAAAAGTCGCATGCCCTGCTCGCTACAACTGTCCTATGATAAAAAGATGCACTTCTCCACAACTCCCACCTGCAAGCAATCACTTCACTCCAGAGAGAAAGAAATGCAGACAATGGGATTTCCAGGCCTCTGTGGGTAGCAGAATATAAGCAAGGGGCCACTTGTGGCTTCCAAGATAAAATATAAAAACCCGGATCTGGATGAAGAGCAACTGCTGAGTCACAGCACGGAGGGCTGCTCCCTGCTTCTCCTTTCCTCACTGTGTATCTGTGGTAAGACCTTCAGCTACTCCGTGTCTTTCAAACAGTGAAAGCTGTCAGGTTTTTTATAAAGAAAGCTAAGCATTATTGAAAGTTTTCAGGGGCTAGGTGGCCACTTTTCAGGAATATTTCGGAGAAGAATCCTCAATATTATAGAAAACCAGAAGAAATGTTTATTAAAATTCCTCCCAAATCCAAGAACCTGTAATTATATTTCTCCAAGGGGCCAATGGGAAGATTAATGCTCCAAAGCTTTCAGAAATTAAGTAACGATTTTAGAAAAGTAATCTTTAACTGAACTTAAATCGCTAGGGCACTTTCTTCCCATGAAAGAAAGATGCTGTCTGCCCACACACAGTTCCCCACAGCCTCTTCACATACCCCAGCAGCCACATAGAGGTCAGGCAGGTGTTGACGCACACACGCCTCTGCCTCGGGAAGGAGGGGGTGATCCCGCAGACTCCATAGCACCCTGTCAGGGTCCACACTCGGGGAGCATTTAGTGGTGGCTGTGAATCTGTGAAACATTCAGCGAGAATCCACAAGAAAGATAAGCAATGATGTACGAGAAAGGATTTCAAAAACTGTCTCCCTTAGAAGAAACTCACCGTATGAGGTTGAGCACACACAGGTCTGACTCCTTCTCTATGCCATAATTCAAGAGGATGCCATCCACTTTGCTCACGGCCTGCTCTTCGTTCATTAGGTATCGATGATACAGCTTCTTCCAAGGAATGAACTATATGGCGAAAAAAACAAAACAAAGCAATACACAGGTCATAGCCATCAGAAAGCAGACGAAGCCACAGACAGGTAAGCTTCTGCCATGTAGACGCAACTACAGCTCACAGTGAAAAAGCTGAACAGATCAGGTGCAAACATTACACAAAGTTGGTTCTAACACTGGCTTTAGCGATTCTGAGAAAAGCTAGCACTTTTCAGTTCCCTTGTCTAAAACGGCAGGACACTTCTAGCAGAGAGGGTCAATGAGGAAAATACAGTATGACAGCCACGATGGCTATGCTAACACCAGACAAACCAATTTTCAGTAAAACACTACAACATGAGACCAAAAGTAGACTGTTACGCAATGAGAAAAGGGTCAGTTCACTAAGAAGATACAAGAATTCTATGCACCAAATGTCAGAGCTCCTAAATATGTAAAGCAAACACTGACTGAATTGAAAGGAGAAACAGCAACACTCAACTTCAGTGCATGAGACAACCTGACAGAAGGTAAGTAAGGTGACAACGGACTGGAACTCTATAAACTAACTGAACCTACAGTCAGAGGCATATGCTCTACCCAACATTATTCTCAAGTGCACAAGGAACATTTTCTAGGACAGACCATACGTTAGGCCACAAAACAAGCTTAACAAGTTTGCTTGCTTGTTTGTTTGTTTTGGGGTTTGTTTGTTTTTTTTTTTTGAGCTAGGATCTTGCTATGTAGTTCAGGCTGGCCTTAAATTCACTATATAGCCCAGGCTGGCCTTGAACTCACAGTGATCCCCCTGCCTCAGTTTCCCAAGTGGTGAGATTCCAGATGTTTGCCCCCATGCTCAGCAACAAGTTTAAAATAGCTTAAGATGTACAAGGCATTTTTTTTCCAAATAACATTATAATCAAAGTAGAAATCAAAGCAACAGGAAAACTGGAAAATACAGAAATACATAGAATTTAAACAACATACTCTTAAAACAAGCAATGGATCAAGTAAGAGATCATAAATTTAGAAAACATCTGGAAACTGGGTACAGTGGTGCACACCTGTAATCCTAGCACTCGGGGAGACTGAAGCAGGAGGATCACACGTTTCAGTCTAACTCAGTAAGGTCCTATCTTATAAAATAAACAATAAAATTAAAAAATAGAATAAAAAGGCTGGGGATGTAGTTCAGTGCAAAAGCCCTGGGTTCAATCCATAATACCATTTTAAAGAAAAGTGTGCACACACAGACACACACACACATATACACACAGAGTCCACCAAAAAAAATGTATACACTTCAGGAAAGGAAAAATAATAAGATGTTTTTTTCAACACATGGTGTTACCCTTGTATGGGGGACCCTAAAGGATGTCACATACCATAGAAAACCAACTGCTGGCCCTTACAGCCGACACTGAAAATGCATGCGCAGCAATCTCAATGACCAAGGTTATCCAAGCAGCAGCTTGCCACACTAATAAACATTTGGAAGCTAATGGCCGCCACTGTGAGCACCTCTTGTAATTACAGAGGCCAAAGGTAACTTGTATTAATTTCATGATGTCTCAATAAATTTAGTATTAAAACATTTATACAAGCTTTCTTTCCCTGAAGTGCGCATTCAGTTTTTGGCGGGCACTGTATATGTACATATGTGTATACGTGTGTGTGTGTGGAGGGAGAGGGAGAGAAAAGAGAAGACGAGAGAGAGAGCAGAAGGAAAACACAGCACAGCAAAACTCATACTATGCAGTAAAAGCAGCGCTACAGAGGAAATATAGCTATAAATATTTACATTAAAAAAGACATGACAGGGGGCTGGGGATTTAGCTCAGCGGCAAAGCGCCTGCCTGTCAAGAGCAAGGTCGTGAGTTCGATTCCCGGTACCAGAAGAAAAATGAAAACCAAAAACAAAAACAAAAGACATGACATGAACAACCTACCTTACGACTCAAGGAACTAGAAAAAAAAGAACTAAGCCCAAAGCAGAAGACAGGAAAGCACAGATTAGAACAAACACACAGAAAAATAGAAAAAATTAACAGAACAAAGACTTGTTGGGGGGTCAACAAGCCCTCAGCAAAAAGAGATTCAAATACTTAAAATCAGGTATTCAAGATGCCAAAGAAATAAAAAGATGATAAGAGACTACTATGATCAACCACACAACAACAAACTGATTATATTAGAAGAAAAGGATAAATTCTTAAAACACACAAACTACCAAGAATTAATCATGAAGAAACAGGAAATCTGAACAAACCAAAAATGAGCAAAGAGAGTAAACACATAATCAATAACCTCCCAACAAAGAAAAGCCTAGAACCAGGTGCCTTTATTGGGGAATCTTCTGAACATGGAAGGGCCAATCAACAGCAGGCAGGTGAGGTGGTGCACATATGGGATCCCAGCACACTGCGAGGCTGAGGCAGAAAGATCACAAGTTTAAACCCAGCCTGAGCAACACAGTGAAGCTGCCTCAAAATAGCTCAGTGCAAAGGCCTTGGGTTCAATCCCTAGTACATCAAAACAAAATTCAAAAACTGCAATACTTTGCGTACTCTTTTCAGAAAACTGAAGAGGGAAAAATTCTTCCAGGAAGTAACCATTACCATGATACCATGATATGAAAGCAGACACAGACACCATAAAGAAAAATCTGAGGGCTGTGACAGATTACTGAACATATATCACATTACTCTCAGCAATGATAAAAATACAGCAGTAGTTTGCATTTCAAGAGGTAAGTATGAATCAGAACATTATCCCAGAATCTTCTAAAGCAGCATGGAGAAAACCTTCACTTACCCTCCCTATGACTGACTACTCAGTTCACATCAGACAGTTTCAATTTACTGAGCAGAACCACTGACACACTCAGGGATCGCATCTAAAAGGGAGACCTAACGTCTGACTTCTGCATAGCTAGTCTAAGGGATGTGTAAGCTAAGTAAAACATTCTCCCAGGCCTCAGGTTTACCTAAGACCTTGACCCTCGAACGGGAAAACGTATACTGAAGCAACACAGGAAAGAACAGGGAGCTGCAGCAGTGACATGATTCGCTCACCACCTCTGTCCACGGGCTGGTGATTTCAAGGAAAGCTGTGTAAAATCATAACACTATGGAGTATGCAACAGTGCAAAGTGGAAAAAGTGACTAGCTCCAACAGGATGAAATGGAAAGAAGTCAGTTAAGTGTTAAAGGAAGAGGTAAGAGGTCAAAAAGACGAGGGAACCTCCAAGTGGAATGGAGGGATCGGGGCCCCTACCTGCCGAGCTGGACCAGAACACACCATCAGGACCAGGACACAGCAAACCACGGATTGCAGATAGAACAGAGATGTGCTGGGAGCAGGTCAGCACAGTGCCTGAGATAGCAGACTAGGACAAGCACGGAGGCCTCACAGGACCCTAAGGAGTCTGGACACCTTTCTGAAGCCAACTGGAATGTACCACTTTTGAAAGGGCACTCTAATCAGAAGTACACGAAGACTGTAGAGGCAATGTCACCCAGCTGAGCAGCTGACTCACCAGTGGGTCACTGATTATCTCCCGCCAGAGGTGGCACACCAAGCTCAGGTTCCCACAGAGGTCTTCCACAGGCAGGAAGGCAAAGATGTGCCTCAGGACTTCACTAGGCAGGCTACAAATGTGGCTCAGTACTTCTTGGCAGGGCAGGGTCCCAAGAAGCCCATAGTATGAGTCAGGAATGGGGTCCAGACCAACGTCCTCAATGTCTTGACCTGTTTCTCCAGGCTCTGCAGAGCGCCGTGACAAACAGTCCTCTGCTTCTTGCCTGGCCTCCCTAGGCCTTGCGCATGATGAAGACAGACGATGCCATGGGGTTTTCTTAGTAACGCCATCCCACTGGCTGGTCCCTGTAGCCTTATTACTCTCTTCCTCAAAGGACCGAGATCGCTTCCTGGAAGGCAGAGAAGACCCGGACGAGCCCAATCTTGCCTCTCCATCACCTTGAGGCGGAGCACAACTGCTCTCTGCAGGAAGGATCATGTCACTCTCCGAGTCCTGACAGCTGTCCTGGCCAACAGAACTGCTCTTGGCCATGTCATTGGTGCACCGCCTCTGACCAGCTAGGAAGAACTCAGGGTTGTACCGGTGACATCCTTGACCTGTAGAGAACCCAAAGAGAATGGGCAAGAAAGACCAATGACTTCTGACCTGCTGTTGACCTAAATATGATAACCTAATATTCAATTATCTATATTACAGAGGAAAGAAACAGGGATATGTTTATGGAGCAGGCGGTGATATAAACAGCTAATTCAAAAAACAGACACATATTTGGAAAGATACACACTGTCCCTCGATGGTGTGATGAGCTACATTACACCATGCAATGCGTACAAGTACAAGGTCAAATGCCGCATACTGGACACTCAAATGGACAGACAAAAGGAAGTGACTCCATGCGTTCACACATCCATCCAGACAGTGCAGCTTTCCTTGCTTGCTCCTGTGTCTACACTTGGCTAAGTAGAAAAAAACAACACGCTTGAGGTTAAAGGACTTTACTTAGCTTAGATGACAGAGCTAAGCCCTCTTATTTTTATTTCCTCCTGTGAAGTTATGAAGAAAAATTATTTTATAATAAAGAGGGAGTGAGAATTCCTTTCATATTATTAGAGTGGTACCCAACCTTTTCTACATATTTGTTCAGTATTTACTAAGAACCTGTAACTCTGAGACAAATATAAAGTGAGGTACCCTGACCTTGGACCTTTCAGGCAGGCAAGGGAATCAAAATGGCAACTTCACATATCACCACAGCATTTTCAAACTCCTAAAAATTATTTTTAAATGGCAATGAAGAAAATACCTTATTGATATACAACTACCTATGTATCTATATCTACGTATTTCCTTTCTAAATAGCGACAGCCAAAATTCTTGCTGTGGAAAATAAAAGAATGGACTGAAACTAGATTTAACTTTTAATTTAAGGACCTGAAATTACTATTTTTTCTACATTAGGGAAAAAAAATTGCCTCTGGGGCAATGCGATAGAAACCCAGATTTTTAAAGTCAATAAGGTCTGATTAAATCCTAGTATTTCCTAATTGTCATATTCTCATCAAGAATTAAGACCTTGTACATTCAGTACCACACTCACAGAGGCCCAAAGAACTCGCCAGAGAGGTGAGAAATTAACTTATATTTATAAAACAAAGTATCAGACAATATATGATGAAGTTTAAAACTGTCTTGTATAATAGGTTATAGTGGTTCCCAAAAGTGAGAAACATACATTATACTATTTAAAGAAAACTAGATAATATTTAGATTATATTCTAAAATTAGACGTATCAAAGGGAACTAAAGGCAGTTTAGATTAAATTAACAAGTATTAATAAATATAGGAATTTATCCGGTACAGGGAGAAATAATAAGAAACTGAACTGCCAGGAGTGGGACTTTTATGTATTAATAACAAACGTTTGAGGACCTGGACATGTTAGATCCTCATACACTGTATCAAATTATACCTCATAAATAAATATTACACATCAATTAAAAATTATAGTTAAAATTTTTGTGGTTTTTTTTGGGGGGTTTCTTTTGTTTTGTTTTTTGGTACCGGGAATAGAACTCAGGACCTTGTGCTTACCAGGCAGGCACTGTACCACTGAGCTATATCCCTGGCCCTATAGTTAAAATTTTAAAATTAAAAATGTTAAATATAAAATGATAGCATGTACAAGCTTGAGTCCATTATGGCAACATGGAAACATTTTACTGTACACTCTTAAGAACAGCTGTAACATGATACAAAATTATCACATCCAAGAATATTAGCTCAACGATATTATATTCCAGACAATCTGGAAAATATACAATCTGCAGTCATGGAGAAGCAGTGTTACCGCATGGTCCAGTAAGCAGTGGTGACAAAGGACCCGTAAAATCTGCCATGAAAGTACTAGATGAAGAAAAATTTCGAGGAAAACAAACCACAGGGGACCTAATGACAGATTGAACAAAGACCCAACAGAGTGAAATTCTCCTAGTTTCCAGGTTGAAATAACAGTGAGATAGGTCCACGTCTTTTTTATCACTTTATAATTACACAAGCTAACAAGTTCCCTGGGGGCTTTTACCAAGCATTATTACATGATGAAATTTTCATGGAAAATTTACAAATAATGAAAAAAAAAGTCAAACAATTGCACTAGTACTACAAAGTCACTTAATTATCTCTAAGTACTTTTAAACTGTAAGATATTAAAATGGCACACACACTGTACAGATTTTGAAAGGTAAGATGCTTTTTTAGAAGACGTACCCCTATTCCCTCTTTTTGTTCTGGGTCTAGGATAGAGACCATGGTTCAGATCCCTGTTTGTCCATCTTTGACCGAAGGCCTGGGTCACAGTCAAATGACTCTGAGCCAACTGTTGGCAGTCGATGGCTGTAAGATGCTTCCGCTTAAACCGTCTCACTGTTTTGTACCAACAGGCAGAAGAAACAGGATACTCATTAGTTGTTATCAATTCTACAAGCTAGTTGGCAAATTATACCCAATTTTTAGGACTATGGTGACTGATAACTGATTGCGTGGATCACCTGAGCCAGCCCTTTTCCTTTCCCCTATATGCCCACCAACTTAGTCATTACACAGCCTCTGCACAGTTCTTCCTTAGAATTCAAGAAGAGCTAAGCGTGGTGGCACACATCTGTAATTCCAGCACTGAGGAGACTGAAGCAGGAGGATTCAGAGTCTGAGGCTAGCCTGGGCTACACAGTCAGTTCAAGGTCAGCCTGGACTACATAGGGAGACCCTATCTCAAGAAAACAATAAAAAAAGTTAAAGAAGAATTCCAAAATGACATTTTAAGAATCTAAAATGACTTTTTCTTGTTTTTTATTCATAGTCTCTAGAAGCCTTAATTGTGAAAGACTCATTCAAAAAGAAGTTACAGCTAAGGTATAACTGAGACTTGGCATCTTTTTCTTGCCTTTGCCTAGGCCACGTATGTTTCTCCAATAACCACAAATATTTAAGAGTTGGCTAAAGATTTGTTTAAACAATAAAACTCTAATAGCTTATTTTTTATCAAATGGCTAAGGTTACTTTTCTTTAATTATGATTTTAATAAAACAACATACAAGGGTTGATGATAGCTTTTTAAAACGAGCTCTTCTAAGTCTCAGAAGCAAAACATAGTTATAATAAAATAGGTTGTAAATTCCTCAAGAGAAGGACCAGTGTTGGGCATGAGGGCACACTTCTGAAATATCAGCACTCAGGAGGCTAAGGCAGCAAGATCACCATGAACTCAAGGCCAGCCTGGGCTGCACAGTGAGTTCATGGCCAACCTGAACTACATGGTGAGACCCTATGTCAAAATATAAAGAAAAAATAAAAGACCAGACCATTATGCACACGATTCTCAACACCAAGAACATCTCAGTATTGAGAACGGACTTAGGAGGGTAAGTGCAAGGCAGCAGAAGAAAATCAAATCCACTTTTCAGGACATTCCGGGGAGGAAATCTGCTATCTTCCTGTAGCAACACATTACAGTAGCAAATAACTGTCCCTAGAATTGTATCTCAAGAGCAGTGCTGAAATAAAAGGGCTAGCAATGTAACTCATTGGCACAGCATGTATCTCGCATGTGGGGGACCCTGGGTTAGATCCCCAGCACTGCAAATAAACAAATAAAATTTAAAACAATACAGGAAATCTTACCTCTTCTGTTCACAACTGTTCATATTAAAATAAACACCAAGTGCTATTTTGCCTGAATGGGGGCCCTCTGATAAGACTGGAAAAGAGATAAGGTAAGGCTACAAGGGGCCTTGCAGGGCACAGACAGATCTAGGTGCTCCACATACACTCAGTTCAACTACAAGAATACCTTAGGCTTACAACCAGCAAAACCACTCACTCCATCAACCCAAGCTATCAATTTCTGCTGACCTCTCTTAATATTCCCAACTGCTTCAGAGCTCACAAGCACAATGTCTGTAATTAGATATCATGAGCTGGAGATGTAGCTTAGTGGTGGAATGCTTGCCTAGCATGCACAAGGCCCTGGGTTCAAGCCCCAGCACCACAATCAATCAATAAATAAAGAGGTGAATTAAAGAAAAGGAATTAGACATCCTTAACAATAGAAATAGATATCAACAGACAGAGGCTAGCTCATGTAATCAGAAGGCGAACATCTACTGCCAAATAGGCCTGGAAAAGAAAAGTTTTCATGGATAAAAATCACTAAGAAGTGGCACCAACATCACTCACATTTATGCAATCCAGCCAAAGGCCTCCTTAGCTGAATGGTGTAAGACAGATAACAAGTAAGGCTTCTGAAAGTCAATGGAGAAACACAAAACCAATTACATTAGACTCAGTTAAGGATTTTGATGCCTACCCAAATCTATATTCCTAAATCTGACTTTTGGAAATACACAAAACTCAGGCCAATAAATTAGTATAGCATTTCTATGTTCATATTTACAGGATGAACCTTGAAATTTTTTTGTAAAGTATGTAAGAATGGTTTCATCCTAGGCTTTGCCAGCCAAGTACCTATAATGATAATGTTCTAATTCAAAATAAAAAACCTGAAGAGTTGATACTGGTCATCAACTAGATAGACAAGTCTTAAAATGTGATTAAGAGTAAAAACATAGTAAGCATACTCCGTCATAAGGAACCATCTTCCCTTTTTCAGTCTGCCCCTCATTAATGGGCTCAGTGCCCCTCAGGCCATGTGAGGACACAGAAAAGACAACCACTTATCATATCACCCAGGAAGCGAACCTTCACCAGACACCAAATCTCTGAGTGTTTTGATCCTGGATTTCCCAGTTCCCAGAATTGTGAGAAATAAATTTCTGTTGTTTATAAGTTACTCAGTCTCTGTAACAGTCTGAGTAGACTTAAGACAGTGCATGCTCCATAGACACTGGGTGAAGGAGGATAAGGAAGGCAAGGTTAAAGCGCTAAGTGTGAGTAGGACAGGATCCTAAACTTAGATCACTGGACTTGGTCAGGGCAGGTGCATGGGGAAAACCTCCTTCAAGGCACAACATCAGAGCTGGGTGTGTCAGCGCATGGCTATAATCCCAGCACTCAGGAGACTGTGGCAGAAGGACAGAGCAAGTTCAAGGCCAGCCTCAGCTACATAAGGAGACCCTGTCTCAAAAAGAAACACCAGACAGACGAGAACATCTAAAATGTTCAGTCCCTAAAAGAACTGTTTTGGGGAAAGTAGGTAATATTGACAAGGGTATAATTTTATTTATGTATTTACTTCATAAAACACATCTGAATCAAAAATGCCTGCTTGAAAAGATTAAATGTTTGCAGAACTCTAACAAAGGCACAGAAATAAAAGAGCTCATGGGGGTGTTGGAACACAGTGTTCTCCTTCCAGAGTTCTGACAGACTCCGGTTATTTCTGGCATACAGCCATTACGGAAAGAGCTATGGTTAACAACCGGGGGGAGGGGGCTCGACTAGGATAGCTTACTAACACACGATGACTGTACGACACACAGGGAGTGCTGTTACCTGAACTGTGACTTGCCTAGGACATAGAGCCAGCATTTGCCACAGATTTCCATGTAAAAAAAATGACTCTTCTGACTTCAGCAGTAGCCAGAAAAACTAAACTGTACCTTCGGTCTCTTTAGAGTAAGTCTTATGACGCATGAGTGGGTGCCAGGAACCCTGAGTCTAAATCCTCACGTTAAACAAGTCATATAATACCTCCTGGAAAGCCCCTTGGAGGCTGAGTGGTGTATCAAGAGACCCCTTCCCCTAGCAGGGGGATCACTAAGGCCTACGAAAATGAGGAATAAAATAACCTTGCACATTAAATTCACAGAATGAGATGACACCTTACGTAAGTACTCATGACACCCACATTGGGGTTGACGTCTACCTCTACCCCTATGTCAAAATCTAGCAAGGAACATGTTAGTATGTGACTACCACCCCAGTCTGAATGCCTCCTAAAAGACATGTAGGTTTTATGCTAACAGTATTAGTGTTCTTGCTAAACTGTTTCCTTTAGAACACTGAAATTCTAATCACTCTTCTGTTTTTATTAATATGCCTTTTAAAAAAGCAGTTCAAATACAACTTTATCAAAATAAAGATGCTCAAAGTGATACCTCTTCCATAAAACCTTCCTCCCTGAGCCACTCAAACTTAATGGTGCTCCTCCGTCCTCACAATGCGAGTGCACTTTACACCGCTCGTAAAGGGCATTCACTGTCAGAAAGTGAGTCTGCAAGGGGTGATGTTAGAGAGCTACATGACGAACGGGCACACGTAAAGGGAAGCTGTGGTTCCACCAGGTTCCTGTGGAGGAGAGACATTAAGAATTCCTTGTGAGGCTTTCCAAACTGTATGAGGCCACCCAGAGACGTTCCCATTAGTTCTCTCCACACCAAAATGGGAATGTACGTCCTTCTTTGAGACCCTCTCCCATGGCGACTAACAGAAATATGTCACATCCCACTGGGGTTAGAACAGAAGAAAAAAACCAAGAATACACAAAAATCATTTTGTCAAACAGAATTTTGCCTAGGCTCGAATACTTCCGTTCCTATACTTCTTTTTGTGGGGTAGCTTTCTTAGAGTGACTTTTCTCTGTCCCTTTCTCCAAGGTCCCCCTTTTATAGGACCCTCATCGCTCTGCTAATCTTCAGTTTTTTGGAGGATCACTAACCCCTTAGGTCCTGCTCTTTGCTGAATTCAAGATGGTCATGACCTGGAGTTTAGTCCTTTACCAATCGTCAAATCTCCTCCTCTGATGAGTCTATTCCATCCTAGCCCACTCTGACCCACACCATTCTCTAGAACTCATTATAGATCTAAAGGAACAAGGTGAAGACAGTGACTGCCTAGAATTCCTGGAGGAACTATTATTGTTAAATATTGCCTTTAACACAGAAAGAATCAAGTTAATTTCCTAGTAGAAAGTACTTACATGAAGAAACTGTTCATAACACCAAACTGCACTTAACTTTGCTAATTAGATATTTGCTGAACCACCTGATCTCACCTGGTTCATTTCTCCACAGGCTCCTCCTCATCTTTTCTCTGGCTCTGTGAAGATGAGCAAGGAGACATCTGGCCTCTGCTCTCTCTTTTGGAGGTAAGACAGGTGCACTGCAACATAGCCTATTATTATGATTCTGGTACTTGACAGGCCCATTTGTAGCCTGTGAAACCCGAGAGCCCAACTCAAACACAGTTAACTGTGTTATCCCTCAACTCTAGAACTGTAAAAATATCTCATGGAGCCAAGAAACACTTAGCAATAATAAAACTACCCCATACATCTCCAAGACACTGGTAACAATTCTTTTTGTAAGTATGAATTTAACACGTGTCTTATACGAATTGCTATTTTTAATATATCTGCATTGTATTGTCCTTTTATACCATTATATTTACAGTAATTACCAGTGTAAGGACATATTAATACACCTTCCACTCCTAGGCTAAAACCTCTGTGGCCTGCTAGGAAGGAGTAAGGAACCTAGTCATCTCCAAGATTCAACACATGCTGCCCTACAAGTAACTGCTGACAAAAAGGACAACTGCACACCTATGGGGGCTCCCTTCTAAAGTTGAGGCTACCTTCCTTGCCTCTGAGGCAAACCTTTTAGAGAGCTATAAACAGCCTGCTGCGGCATGCATGCCTTGCATTCTTCATCACCGTCCTATACTACCTTGCAGCTCCTGGATGCTTTACAGCTACTGCAGTTCTTTTCCATACTCTATTTGATCTTCACAGCAACCTACAATTGTGCCACAACTAACCTCAGCCTCATATAAGGCTTGTCTGAAGTCACAATACTGCCCATAAGTGATAGTGACAGCATGAGAACTTAGGTCTTCTGATACCCCAGGATTGGAGCTCTGTCTCCTGTAACGTTCTCCTTTCTGTGTCCTAGAAGCTTAACAGCAGCTTCGAAAAATCTCAAGTTTAATTCAAGTATCATTTTGGTTTTTCATTATGAAACATCAGAACCAAAGAAATTTAGTAAAAAACCAAGTATTCAGAAAGCATTAACTATAAGGAAAATACCACTATATTCTATATATTTGTTATGGCTTAGAAGTCCCACCAAAGCCTCAGATAAAACAACAACAAAAAAAACCCTCAGACAGTCATAGGTGGGGTTTTGGAGAGGTGGCTGGATCTAGAATGTGTGATGCTGGGATTAAATGAGAGTAGGATCAAGGGTGTGTGACTACTAAATTAGTGCACTGATAGGTATGGCATACTTCTGGGAGTGATAAAGGGAAGGCCTTCCCTGGGTGTGAGGGCTACCCACCCAAAGGGCGTGTACTGTGAATAGAACATCATGGACAGAAAGAGAGCTATTATGGTCACTTGCCACTTGCTACAGATGCAGCTTGCTACTTTCTGCCTACCCTGCTTGGACATGGACCATTTCTTCTCTGCAATGCTCCTTTGCCATGCCACCCCTGGAGGCAGCTGACCATGAACTGAAACCTCTACAAACTATTAGGGGCTGGGGATTTAGCTCAGTGGCAAAAGCGCCTGCCTGGCAAGCCCAAGGTCGTGAGTTCGGTTCCCGGTACCGGAGAAAAACCTCTACAAACTATGAGCTATAATAAACCTCTCCTCCTTTCACTTTGGATATCAGGTGTTCTGTCTCAGCAACAAGAAAAGGAACTAACACAAGACTCACAGTAGAAAAACTGAATATTTTGTCCTCCTTAGCTTTAACATAAAATAAAATAAAATAAAACAAAACAAAACAAACACCAAACAAAATGCAGAAAAAGCACATAACACTGTTCTCTCTCTAGTCTTTGGCATTTACTCTTAGACCAGGTCCCTTCCAGAGACCATACCCTGCTTCTCTCTAAACCTAAAGAGGCCAAACAAATACAGTCATCTAACACCATGAAATAGCTACCACTCCCTCACAAACACTCATTTATTAGAAAAAGCAAGAATAGGTTTGGCAGTTCTCTCTGTATGTTCCTCAAAAAAGAAAGGAATAATGAAAGAAAAGCAAAGAAAAGATCACTGTTTGCTGTCTAGAATATATCTTTATATATTTGAAAGGCTTCTTCTATTATTAGTTCACTCTGCAGCTACTTTTATATAATTACTATGTCCCAGATTTATTATAAACTCCATGAGGGCTTTCTGTGTGGTATTTTTGGTTATAAGTGCTATTACAGACATTGAGGATACAAAAATGAATAAGCCTGACCATAAGGCAGCTACCAAAACAAACACAAATTACTAAACATAAAGCAATATAAATGCTACATAAATACATGCGCAAAGCGCCACGGTAGTAAAGGAAACCTAATAGAGTTAAAGCTGGAAAAAGTTTTATGAAGAGTTGAGCTTTAAAAGATGATTTAGTTAGGCAAAAGAAATAGTACAGTATATATAAAAACACAGAAATGGGCTGGGCATTGTGGCAAATACCTGAGAGCTGAAGGCCTACCTGGGCTCCATAGTGACTTCAAGGCCAGCCTGAACTACATAGCAAGATCCTGTCTCAAAAACAAGCAAACAGCCAGGCGTGGTAGTGCCTATAATCCTAGCACTCGGCTCTGGAAGTTCGAGGCCAGGCTGGGCTACAACGTGAGCTCAAGGCCAGCCTGAACTGCACAGTGAAACCCTGTTTCAAAAAGACCAACAAAGCAAAACCACAGAAGCACAGCAAAACGCTGGCACAGTAGAGAAGGTAGGTTTCAACAGAACAGAGGTTCCCTGATAGGAAATGATGGGAAACAAGGGCGGAAACGAATTTGGAGCCACAAACAGCAAAGGTCCTTTAACATAGTGCTATCAGCCTTCATCATGTAGGCAATTCAGGGTATTACGCAGTTTCTAAGCAGGGTCATTACACAAACATAGATAAAGATAGAGACTGTCAGGAAAATAAGTGAGCAAGTCCCATACCAACATAGGTGAAAGTTGGCGAAGACTTGGGAGTGGCAGAAACTCAGCAAAGAAAACAGATGAGTATCAATGAGTTGCCTTTTTGTTTTCTTTTTTAACAAGATAAAAAGCAGCAAAGATAACTGACGTTTCTAGTACAATATTAAGAATGATGATGTCATCAACCATTAAAGAATAAAGAACAGGGGCTGGATTTAGCTCAGCGGCACAGCGCCTGCCTGGCAAGTGCAAGGTCGTGAGTTCGATTCCTGGTACGGGAAGAAAAATAAAAAGAAGAAAGAAGAAAGTGCTTTCACTTTATTCATTTGGGGGAGTTGAGATGGGGTCTTGTCATGTACTCTGCCGCCTTGAACTCACTATGTCACCCGGGCTTTATCAAACCGCAATGCCAAGGGTAACTACTTGTGAAGTGAACTAGTAAAGGCCAGACCACAATCTCCAAAACCCTGCACAGAAGAAATGGGCAGCCCAACCGGGACAAAAGGTGACACCCCACAAAGAGCATCATCAATTAGCTTACTGCAAGGCTCCTGCTCCCTCCAGAGCAGGGTTTTGCTCTAGAAAAACCACAGGGTCTGTGAGACAGATGTGCATACGTTATCACTCACATTCTATTATCATTACCTAGTTATCTAAGAGGATATAAACCAAATCGAGTTCATAAAGTACACAGGAGAAGCAGGATCTAGAACACCAATTAAATAACCATCTATCCTGGATTTCATGTATTCCATCCCATTATGAACCATGTGGCTCAATTTTGTTTTAAAAAGGGGGGGGGGCGGTGCCTGGAGGCATAAGTCTGTCATCAGTAGCTCCAATAGGGCGGTGGACCGGGCTTCAGCTTCCGGTATCCACTGTCTACAACAGCAACAGTTAAAAACACCGTTTGGCATGTTCTAAAACATGGTACATTTCAAAGACCTTTTACACCTTCCTTCTTTTTGGAGTGGCAGGATACAACAGACAATAAATGTTTAAAACTTGATACCTGAACCTTGGTCTCTCTCCAGTGACTACATCACTAAGTAACTCAACCAAGCAGGATCTTCTTAGTAAAACAGAGATTGTCATGATTCTATCCCAGAGTTTTTCTTCATTAAATATTCTAGAACGTTGCCTTCCTTAGAGGACTGTCTGTGGGTTAGCTAATTCCACTGTCAAGTGCTTCGCGAACTGCCGAGTGCAATACGAAATGTAAAGGGTAGCTGTTTCTAGGCCTGTCACATAGCAGACTCCCCTCTTACCTGCCAAAGGAACTAAAGAGGTTAACCAAGCGGTTAAATGACTATCTCAGCTCCTCATAAAGTCGGGTAAGCAAACCAACACCTAACCTAATTAATTTCCTCCATCACCACATGCAGCTTGCTCAGATCTAAAGAATCCCTCAAAAGCCCCATGCTTCCCCACATCACCTTAATCTTCTTACATTCAGCTAAGGTGGAGGGAGACAGCCAGTGAAAAGGGAACAGCAGGGCAGCACAAAATGACTTGCCCAAGGTCAAAACATCAGAAGAGAAAAGCCTGGGTGGCCAGGGGCCGTGTCTCCCCAGCCGCTTCTGCCAGCCCCCGAGAAACGCCGAAATGCTCTGCCAGGTCGTGGGCCTCCGCGAGCAGCGTGGGGGCCAAGCTCGGCCGGAGTTCCCGGGCGCCCGGCCCCCCAGTGCACTCCCCAGCGCGGCCGAGCCCCACACCCACCGCGAGCCCGGGCCGCACCCCCGCGGTCGGGACCCCAGCGAGGGGCCCGGAGCTGCAAGTTCCCCACCCCGCCTGCGCCCGCCCGCACGTCCCGCCGTGCCTACGGTCTCACGCACTATGGCGCTCGGAACGCGGGGCCCTGTAGCTGTCGCCGCCCGCGCTCCCGCGCCGCTAGCAGCCCGGCCCAACGTTCCCGGCTGCAAGCCCCTCCTCCGGCAGCGACAGCTAGCCGACTGCAGCCCACTTCCTCCGCGAGCTCCGCCCTGCCGCAACCCAGGGAAGCACCCTCCGCCGGCGCTGACGGACGGCCTCCGAGTCCAATAGGGATGCGCAACCGGAAGGGAACTGCTGACTGACGGCCTCTGAGACCAATCAGAATGCGCTCCTGGAGGGGGCGCGGCCACGGCTAACGAGCCACGCCCCGTCCTCGCTTCTGTTGCGCGGAGGAGAAAAGGGGAAACTTTCCCAGAGTTCCTTCCAGCTGCCCGGGTCCCCAAAGGGGGTGAATAGCAGCAGCGGGGAGGGGCGGGCGCGGCTGCCTTTTGGTGAGGACGGGGTGGCGCGAGAGAACACCGCTCCGTCCCGGAGAGGCCTGACAGGGTCGGGCTGGAGCAGCGGGAGGCGCAGGAGCGCCGTGGCCCTGCAGTCACCCCTAGGCCAGGCTGCCGGGGCGCACACCTCGCCCCGCCCGCTGCCTGCGGAGCTGCCCCCGCCGGGCGCGTCCTTCCCGCCGCGGGGCTTTCAGGTGGCAGCGACCCGCCTCCCTGACGTTTTCTCCCCGTGCGCGGGGCCGGCCCGGAGTATCAGATGCACCCACTAGCCGAGCCGCACGGGGGTACACCGAGGCCCAGGGCTGCACCGAGACGACCGCACCCGGAGCGCGGGAGCAGGAGCGGTCCACAGGCGCGCTCTGCGCCGGCTGTCCCGTCCCCCTGAGGAATCAGCGGCCACAGCCGGGACCAGGGACCCGCCCCCCGAGGGGCAAAGGGCGTGAGTGCCGCGGGCGGCCCGGGCAGTGGGCACCCGGGCCGAGGGCGGCGCGTCTGGGAGGGTCACGTGCAGGAACCGGAAGCCCGGCCACCTGCGCGGTTCACTCGGCCTGCTGGGCCCGTGTCCCCTGGCCGAGGGCTGGGACTCGGCGTCCCTCCCGCCCGCTCGCGGCCATGGCCACGCCCGGGGACTCGCGGCGCCTCTTCAGACTGGTGCAGGAGGGCCGGCTTCGCGCCCTGCGGGAGCAGCTGCAGGCCGCCGGAGGCCCCCAGGGCTTGGCGGGAGACACCCTGCTGCACTGTGCCGCCCGCCATGGACGCCGGGACACCCTAGCCTATCTGGTGGAAGCCTGGGGCATGGACATCGAGGCTGCCAACCGAGACTACAAGAGGCCTCTGCACGAGGCGGCCGCCATGGGACACCGGGACTGCGTGTGCTACCTGCTGGATCGAGGGGCGTCCGTGGACTGCCTGAAGAAGGCCGATTGGTAGGTGGTGAAGATATGAAAGACACGCAGCCTCCCCACTTCCCGCAGAATCACGTTTTCGTGGAGTGTGTAGGTCATTCCCCAAGCACCATAGGTTTTCTCAGCTCCTAATTCTCTGCCCAGGCCTGCTCAACAGCAGGGTCGACCTCTCCCAGCCATCGCTTGCCTTTGTGAGACAGAAGAAAATATAATCAAACAGAATATAATCAGTACATTTTGCTCGGGGATGTGATGCTCTCCGGAGGCCATGTAGCTAAGTGACTACATCAGTTACGTTGTTTTAATTGATAGTGCTACAGTCTGCAGACTTAGATTTTTATCAGTTAACACTTACACTGCGTGTAGAGCGGGCGCTATTATCGCATGTGTCATCTTGCATAACCACCACATTCAAGATGCTTTGTCATCACACAAATCAATCCCATTTTGTTACTTGACATCTTTTAGGGGTATGAGGGCCGGGAGTAAAAACGTCAGGTTCCTTAGAAGTTGTGATCCTTTTAAAGCTTGTCACAGAATGAAGTGCCTGCCTTCGAGAAAGTCCTGATCTCCTGGGAATCAGAAACACGGAAGAGGGCTGGGGGTGCAGCTGAGTGGTACACTGAGCCTAAGGTACACAAGACCCTGGATTCCCTGTCCAGCTCTGTAAGGAGGTGGGGGGAGGGGCCCAAGAAAGACCCATGTAGTTAATAAACACATCTTCCCCACTGTGGTGGAAAGGTAGTCTTGAGGGTTGGTGGTGGTTTTTATTAGCTCTGTCCCAGTTCACTCCTAGCCAGGCTCAGAGGCAGTTTTGCCCCAGTCTCTCTCCTGAAGGTGCACTATTATTTTTCCCTTGTTATTCCTGCCAGCGTCCTCATACCAAGCAAAGAAGTTGCTAAAGCTGTTTTCGTGCCTCCCAGATACCTCAGTTCTCCGGGTTTTCTGTCTGTGTCAAGGATGTGCATTTCCTGAAGACCTGGCCCCTTGCTTCTCATGTCAGCTGTCTTGCACTTGACAGCTTGTCCTGGTTGGCTTTAGGACTCCTCTAATGATGGCTTGCACAAGAAAGAATCTCGAGGTGATCCAGGACCTTGTGGAACATGGTGCCAATCCACTCCTCAAGAACAAAGACGGCTGGAACAGTTTCCACATTGCCAGTCGAGAAGGTGACCCTCTGATCCTCCAGTACTTGCTCACTGTTTGCCCAGATGCTTGGAAGACAGAGAGCAAAATTAGAAGAACTCCTCTGCACACTGCAGGTACAGCTGGCAGCTCTGTAAGTATGCGGGCATACATGTGCAGCCTGCTTGACCCCGCATTGCTGAATATCATCTTGTTCAAGTCACCTGTGGATAAACGAAGGAGTTAGGGAAATACAGGGCAGGGAGTAAGAACATCTTGGGACCTTTTGGCAGACTGTTAGTTTCTGACGTTAATGTAACTTGTAGCCTAAACTGCATAGTGAATAGTAACTAGCATACCTTTCTTGTTGTTTTCATATGTGTCTGTCTTACTAACCCTAGTTAGGTAGTACCTTAAGTAACAAAGTCTTGAACAAAATCTTGATCTCTTTCTTCCTTGAACAAGTTTCTTCATCAGCAAAATAACGATGGTAATGATGCCTGTGTCACAGGGTCATTGTAGAATTTAAGGAGCATGGTTATAAAGGGCCACATGGTTATAAAGGGTGAGTGAGCCACAAAGCTTTATCTCTATTTACATTTGCTCCCCAGCCTGCATTACCATGATTGCATTATCACTTGAGTTCAGATCAGCAGCGTTAGTTCCCATAGGAGGATAAACCTTACTGCAAAGTGCGCATGTGACGGATCTACGTTGTGCACTCTTTCAAGTCATCCTGAAACCTTGCACTACTCCTACCCTTATCAATGGAACAGTTGTCTTCCATTAAATCGTCCCTGGTACCAAAAATGTTGCAGACCACTGCTCTACACATAGCGAGCAGAGAAACCTTGTTGCTTCTATTATCAGTTTTATGTTATTACTAAAACCAAGAGGGAAAAAAAATATTTCTTCATCTTTTGTAACATTATAGTGGTCTACATTTAATGTTTATTTACTTGTGCCCAGGTATGGCTCTTATGTCTCTTTTAGTGATAATGTCAAACATAAATTTGGGGTTTGGTTTTCATTGTGTAGTGACCCTTAACTCTGAACTTTTAGATTGTTTTGAATTAGGGAAAAACAAAATTGCTGTGGCATAAGTGGGTATTAAAGGGCTCAGGAGACCATAACGAGAAATATGGAAGGTGATCTTTAGTCTTCTTAGGTAGTACATTAAATTATTGTCTAGTCACAGTTAGCTCTTAGGGACTAAAGGATCCTTTCTAAAACTTTGTAAGTAAATAGAAAAACATTTCTGTACTCTTAAATTACATGGCCAGCTCCTTACACACATACACTCGCCTGGAAATACAATTAGTACCTTGCTGTTCACCCAAAATAGGGGAGGATAGATCGTCAGAATTTTCATTATTGAGTATAGTTGGTTTTTTGTTGTTTTGTTCTGAGACAGGGTCTCACTGTGTAGTTTAGGTAGGTCTTGAACTCACTATATATCCCCAGCTGGCCTTGAACTCCTGGCAGTCCTTCTGCCTCAGCCTCCCAAGTGCTGGGATTATAAGTGTGTACCTCCACACCTGTTAGTAGGAAAACTAAATTCCTGGTTTTGTCATGGGTTGCTTTTAAAATGTTTTTCCATTTCCTGGAAGAAACTGGCCATGCAGATGTGCAGCACAAAAATGGAGAGATAAATTTAAGATTAAAAGTTTGAGCCAGGCCTGGTGGTGCGTGCCTGTAATCCCAGCACTTGGGAGGCTGAGACAGAAGGAGTGCAATGAGTCCAGTGGCAGCAGGAACTATATGGTGAGTTCAAGGCCAGCCTAAACTGCATAGTGAGACTGACTCAGAAAAAAAGAAAAAAATTAAGGTTGTCATAAAAATGCTCATAGGGATAAAATAGTCAAGTGTTGGTTCTGTACATGTAAATATATCATTCTTTAGCAGTTAACCAGTTAAATTTTATTTTTTCAGAAGTGACAGCATACCAACTTTAGTTACTCTTTCCTGTAGGTTATAACTAAAAAATGGGGCGGAGAGGAGAGCCAGAAAAAACAATAATTTTTTCCCCCAGTGGTAGGGATCAAACCCAAGACCTTGTGCATGTTAGGCAAATGTTCTGCTCAACAAGCTACATCCCCAGCCACGTTATGTGTGAAGCATTTTATGTCTCATTAAAAAGCTCTAATCCTCCAACTCTCTTCTTCCAGCAATGCATGGCTGTTTAGAAGCAGTCAAGGTGCTTCTTACAAGGTAAGAACAAAACAGTAAATTGGGGGAAAGTAACGTGTTCATTATAATGAGTTAATATGTGTCATATAAAAGACTCAAACATTTAGAAAAAAAAAAACTTCCAAAAGAAAAGCAAACACAGAATATAAGCAGGTAATTCAAAGAATATAAAGTCAAAATAGTTAAGAAACATGACCAAATTTTAGTGACAGAGTTGTCTATTCTTGTATTCAACAAACATGTTCATATTCATTGAGTACCTAATATAAACTACCCTCTGGAAGCTAGGGATGTAAGTCAGTGCTAGAGCATTTATCTAGCATGTGTAATGCCTGGGTTTCAATCCCCAGCATAGTCAAGCAAGCAACCAAGCCAGAAGATTTTAAAGGATGACTTTCAGGGTGGTACCGCTGGTGGCACTTGCAGAGAATTAAACACTGGAAAATAAACAGCTCTGGGGAAAAGGTTATAATTGCGTTTTTGGACATGTGCCTGTCAGAGATCCTAGTCAGGCAGTTAGAGACACAGATGGGCAAAGACACAAATGTGAGGCTTGTAAACACAGAGCTGACCGTTGAGATTAGAAATATATGAGATGATCTGAGGAAACAGTTTATCATTAGGAAAGAGCACCTAACATTGAGTCTTGAGAACACTGCTATGTGGAGGGCTTGCCTGGTACCAGTGGGAGCATACTGGGTTGTCTTCAAATTTATTAACAGTTTTTCTTTCATTTAAGCAACAACTGTTTTGAATGCCTTCTCATGTCAGGCTCTAGCTGATAAAATATACATAGTCCTTCCTCCAGTGGAGCCTATAACCTAGTGTCTTAGTTACTTTTCTCATTGCTGAGACAAAATACAGTGGTACCACTGTTTTCTACAAATCATGGGAAGAATTAAGTTGATGAACTGAGGTACTGCTTACCTGACACCCAAAGTTAAAGGAGAAAAGGTTTGCTTTGGCTCACAGTTTGTAGAGCTTTCAGTCCATAGTCAGTTGGTTCTAAGACAGGATGGTATGGCAGAGGAGCAGTGCAGAAGAGAAACAGACCATGGCAAAGCAGGTAGGAGGCAGTGAAGCAGTAAGCAGCAGCGAAGCCTGCCTTTCCTCTCTCCCTTTATATTCCATCCAGGCTGTAAACCTATTGATTAGTGCCATCCACACCCAGAACTATGCTAATCCCATTCAGTTATCACACACCCTTAATCCTAGTGTCACACACCCTAGATCAGTGATGGTGAACCTTTTAGAGACTAAGTGCCCAAAATGCTTGGAACGTTGTTGCTTGGCATCTCTGCTCCTTTCCGACTGTGTGCTTAGCCGCCATGTGCAGTTATCTGATGCTGAGCTGCTGGGATGATGCTGGGGTAACTTGGCTCATGTGCCAACAGAAGACTTCGCATCCTTGCTGCAGCACCCATGTCGTAGGTTCACTAGATCCAGCCACCTCCAAAAAGCCCACCTGTGAGCACTTGAGGCTTTCGGGGGCAGTGGGGTGGGGGGCACATCTAGATACAAGCCATAACACCTGGTGTGGAAGACAGGTACAGATGAATAATCTCACATGTAAGTATAGAACTACAAGTTATAATACTGCAAAGAGAAAGTACAGAATGCTGAGAGAGCAGAGGTGTTCGTGTAAGTTAGGATTGGTAAGGACAGGCGTCTGTTAGCATTCACTGTACAGTGAGGCTTGGATAAGTTGGAGTTGGCCAAGGGAAGAGTGAGCAGTTGAGTTCCAAACAAGTACCAAGGCAGAACAGGACTGAGCAACCAAAGGATCAGGAAGCAGGGGCTTGCGGGGAGCATGTCGACCTGGAGAAACGTACTGGGTGCTTTGTGATCCTGGCCCTTGAAGGAGATGCCAAACTGTGAAATTTTTATCCTTTGTGCACCAGGAAGTAGTTAACCAGTTAACAGTTCACCCTGAGCATCACACGGGCAGCATGTTCACGTATTACCCCGAGTGTCACATGGGCAGGTGTCATTTCAGCTAGTCAGTTCTTGGTTAGATGAGATACACTCATACATTCATTGTTTTTTTATCAACGATCTTTTACATGCTTTTTTATACAGAAAGTTGTATTCACCTTTGATGTTTGTTTCTAGTGAAATCTAATAAGTTCTGGTTATTTTCTTTTAGTAATTTGTGTTTATTTTAGTTGTGAAAAATAACATAATTTTGTGCAATGATGTAAAAAAACTCTTTCTTTTTTAGTTTTTTTTTTTTTTTTGGTTTTTCTCCGGTACCGGGAATCAAACTCACAACCTTGCGCTTGCCAGGCAGGCACTGTGCCCTTGAGCTAAATCCTCAGCCCTTACAAAAACTCTTGTTGTAAGTACATTAGATGTAATTTTTTTTCTTTTCGATTTTGTCTTTTTGAGACAGGGTCTCACTATGCAGTTCAGGCTGGCCTTGAACTCACTTTTGTAGCCCAGGGTGGCCTCAAACTCACAACCATCCTCCTACCTCAGCCTCCTGAGGGCTGGGATTACAGGTGTGTGCCACCACACCCGGGTAGATGTAATTTTTATACTTCAGAATTCAGTGATATTCTTTTTTTTTCCCTGAGTGATACTCTTTTACAATACAAAGTAGACACATTTGGGACACAGACTGAATAGAAAGGAAGTGTCAAAAGATCTGCAAAAGAAAAGACTGGGAAAGGGGAGAAATGTTAGCTTAGGAGAGAGGAAAAGTCTGTGTTATGAAATGAAGAGACAAAAAAGACGTCTCCTTATTGTCAACTATTCATAATACATAAATGGTAGCTCTTCAAACAAGAAACAAAACAAAGTATTCCAATAGTGGTGAGTGATTATAATAGTTCTACAGGTGGTATCCGAGTTGGCCAGCATCTAACAAGCTGTCCTGTAATCAAAAAGTGAAAAAAATATTATTATAAAATATTTATGCACCTTCTAGACTAAGCAACATAGAACTTGTTTGTTATTTATTCAAAACAAGAGGGTTCAAAAAGTCATTTACACTTAGATTAGTTCTCATAGACCAAATAATCAAAAAATACATAATGGTTGGGGCTAGGGATTTAGCTCAGCGGCACAGCGCCTGCCTGGCAAGCACAAGGTCGTGAGTTCGACTCCTGGTAACAGAAAAAAACAGCAACAACAACAACAAAAAAACATAATGGCAAAATGCCAACCAGAAAGTCTGTCAACAATGTCTTCATCATTAAACATTTAGTGGGTAGACAATTTACTGAAAATTACCACCCATAGGAAGAAAGAAAGTGTAGCGAGTTGTTCAGAGAAAAACAATAATGTAAAAAGAGTTAGGAAAGAGGTTAGATACAGCTGCCAGCATTGTAACATTTCGCTGAATATTAAATGTTTTAAGATACATCATGCGCAGGAAAATTATTGAATACATTTAATAAAATTGTTTTTATACTATTATAAAAATTTAAAAATTTGAAATCGTTGCTCATCCTGTATTTAAATAATTGGACTGGGAAGTGGTTAGATGTTGTGAGCAGGAGTGGTTTTATCCGTTGACACTGGGAAGAGGACCGGCTGCCATGGAAGGTGGTGGAGCCAGGCAGGAGCGCAAGGAGCATGAGAACCTGTTTCCAGTTAGCTTGGACCTCAGGTGAAAGCGGAGATGGAGGAAGGATACAGATGTTTTGCATGCTTTGGCTGCAGAACGGAGAGATTCGGTTTGTGAGAGGTAAGGGAAAAGCAGTATCAAGGACCATTTAGCTTCTGGCTTGAAGAACTGGAGAGGTCACAGTACCATCAGATGGGATAGAGGAGGAGCTCCTAAAGACAGAGCTCAGCGTAGACCCTGAGATGGGAACGGAAGGAGAGCACACCAGCCTGTCACAGATATCTCCGTTAGGCTTACAGTGCGCCTGAGGTGATCAGGTGCCAGCTGTCCCTTGAGTCTGAAGTGGTGACTTCTCACATCCGGTTACTTTCGGTGTTGGCTCTAGGTGCCAGTATGAACCCGACTGCAAAGACAGCTGTGGTATTACCCCCTTCATGGACGCAATTCAGTGTGGTCACATCGACATAGCCAGGCTGCTCCTCGAAACACATGAGGTATTAAAATGGTTTTGTTTTTATTCCTTTGGTTCTTCCTATAAATTGTAGGTCACGGGATAAGCAAAACACATTATTCAGATCCTGGTTTCAAATCTCAGGTCTGCCAAGTGCAGCCCCTTCACCTCTTTAACCATCAATGTATGTCAGTGGTCCCATCTTTAAAATAAGACAAATTTAATTTCTTCAGGAGCTTCCTATAAGAATTAAATAATATAATGTACATAGAGCAGCTGGCAAATTAACTATTCAATAAACAGCACTTCGATAATAATAACAGCAGACTGCTTTGGGAGCACTTGTGGCACTACAGCCTGGCACACTGACCCTTAATTATATTTTTGGCTACAGCCCTTAGAATCAGACAAAAGCTCTGTATCCTTTACCCAGAGAAACATATAGACAACTTAAGTTTTGCCAAAACGGCAGCAGGTATGTGGGTCCAGGTGTCTGCTCCTTACCTCCTTTTCCCTCTCTCTCGTCTACTAGGCTTGCCCTTCAGCTGAGGACAACCTGGGGGCCCAGGCGCTGCACAGGGCAGCGGTCACTGGGCAGGATGAAGCCATCCAGTTTTTGGTGTCCGATCTTGGCATCAATGTAGATGTGAGAGCAGCAACAACCCACCTCACAGCGCTTCACTATGCAGCTAAGGTTTGTCTGTTTTGATGGTGTTCCTGCTGACTTGGGCTTGCTTCGTTCCATTGATAGGTAGCTCCGTAGGCCTGATTCCTTGGCTCCATCTCTGTGGAAAAAATTGCCCGTACTCCTGAAAAGATCACGATTCTAAGGAGTCCTATATCCCCTTCGATAGAAACCTGACTTTTGTTTCTGTACAAAAGCTGAAAAAACCTTTTATTCCACAGAATGCCTGACCCTTATGCCCCTTCTGAACATTTTTGTTTTCAGGAATAACATTACTTAAAGCCAGAAAGATCCATTGTATGAAATTCCTAGCTCTCTGTCCTCATCCTGGATTTCAGAAGTTAAGACTCTGTAACTGGGGCAAGAGAATGAAGATGTGCACAATTTTTTCACTAGAAAAGGAGCCTTTTTAAGTGCTAGGAGTCTTACATATTTCCCTACATTATATAGTGGCCACATGCCTTTACTTATTTGTCTAGAAGCAGGAATAAATTTTTTTCTGATGAACTAAACTCTTATCTAATATCCCTGTTGTGAGCAAGTGGGGAGGAGTAAGGATGGAGGGAGTCTACAGGGGGAGAAAAGCTGGTGTTCCCTCCGTGGCAAGATCGAGCCTTGATTTTGTTCTCGCTACATGCTACAGCTGGCTAGATAAAGAGTATATAAATGACCTTATATGTAATGTTGCCCGTGACTGTCTTTGCTGAGGGGTTACAGTCTTTTTCAATTTATCTCTATCCTAAAGATTTTATCAGAGTATATTTGCTTGAGAAGTTTTGGAATTGTGACCACAAGATTTATACTGATGGAAACTCAACCGTATTAGGTCAGTAATGTGGCCTACAAAGTTGATAATCTGTACCTTTATAATTAAATGTTACAGGGGGCTGGGGTTTTAGCTCAGCGGTGCAGTGCCTGCCTGGCAAGTGCAAGGTCGTGAGTTCAATTCCCGGTACTGGGGAAAAAAAAATATGTTACCAAAATATTTATTTAATGATTTATAGCAGAATTGAGAATGATATATAATAAGCTTTCTTTGAGATAGGAAAATTCCGTTTTAGGAGTTCACTGTTTTAGAAAAACGAATATGAGTTTGTGTTTAAAAGTTTGCTTTTGTCCTCATCACAGTGGTAATGAATTTATTTCAACACTCAGGAAGGGCATACAAGCACAGTTCAGACTCTCTTATCCTTGGGTGCTGACATCCATGCTAAAGATGGAAGACATCGATCAGGTATTGGCTGAACAATACATGTTCTTTCGTATTGAAAATACTGGTTTGGAGCTGGGGAATAGCTCAGTGGTGTAGTGCCTGCCTCACATGTCCAAGGAGGTGGGGTTCAGCGCCGATCACTACAAACAAAACAAAATAAAAATTGAGTTTTAATATTTTTCCAGTGGCCCTGTAACTTTTCTTAAAGTAAGTTTCCCTGTCTGCAAAAGTTCAGAACTATTGGTATTGCCATGACAATGATGCTGACTGCGGCTCATTACTACCACCCTAGTTACTGCTGTTATTTTAAACCATAGCAATATACAGTGTATGTGGCATAAAAGCACTTTTGGCCTAATCCTTGAAGATACCTGCTCTCAAGATACGGTATAGATTTAGGGCTCAGAAATATATTCTTCGAGGGAATTTTGGTTTGCTTTAGGGATTTGTTTTGCTTTGTAGAGTTTTGGCTGGCTTATATTTCTGCTTTTTATGATTGGGATCAAATTAAGGGCCTTGTGTGTGCTGGGCATACATGTGCTCTCCCACTGAGCCACACTCTCAACCCTGCTCGGAGTTAATTCTTTGGACTTGGATTTCTTTTTAACTTTATTTATTAGTGCATATTTGTCAAACATACTGATCACATTCATCGTAGGGAATTTGTACTTGTACATAACACATCTCAGTTCTCTTTTTTCTGTTTTCCTCCCCGCCCTTCAGTCCTTCTTCCCCTCCCCATTTACACAAGCTTTGTGTACATTTTTCCTTCCATTCTCTTTTTTCCTTTTCCCTTCCTTCCCTCTCTCCTCCCCTTTGTTCCCCTTCCCATTTGACATTTTCTTCCTACTTCCCAGTATCTGTTCTCCATTATGTTCCTCATGTACCCTCTGCTCGTGAAGAGGAACAGTGCAGTATTTAATCTTGTATGTCTCATTCATTTCACTTAAAATAATGGTCTTAAGGTGCATCCATTTTTCTACAAATGATTCAAATTTACCCTTCTTTATGGCAGAATACTACTCCATTGTATATAAATAATACATTTTCTTTATCCATTCATTGGTTGATGGGCATATGGGCTGTTTTCAAGATGTAGTCTCTACAAATTGTGTAGCTATAAATATGGGTATGCGTATATCACTGTAGCACGATGCCTTTAACTCTTGGGAAGATGCCTAGAAGAGGAATAGCTTGATCAAATGGAACCTCTAATTCTAGAAGTTTGTTTGGTTTTTGAGGAATGCCTATACTGACTTCCACAGTGGTTGTACCAGTTTACACTCCCACCAGCAGTGAAGAAGGGTTCCTTTTTCCCCACAGCCTTGTCAACATTCGTTATTGCTTGATTTCTTGATGATAGCTGTTCTTTCTGAAGTGAGAGGGAATATCATTGTTTTCATTTCCACTTTTCGAATGACCAGTTTGAACATTTTTTCATATATTTATTTGCTGTTTCTACTTCTTCATCTGAGAAACATTTGTTCATCTTGGATGCCATCCAAATTTGGAGGGGTCTAATTTTTTTTTAGTTCTTTATATAGTCTAGATGTTAATCCTTTGTCTGAAGAGTAGCAGGTAAAATTTTTTCCCCATTTTGTGGATTATCTCTTCACTGTGTTGGTGGTTTCTTTTGCTGTGTAGAAGCTTTTTAATTTGATGTGATCCTAGCTATTGATTCTCTGTGATATCTCCTGTGCAACTGGGGTTTTGTTCATGAAGTTTTTGCCTATAGCTATGCATCCCAGAGTTTCACCTGTTCTAACAGCAGATTAAGTGTTTCTGTTTTAATATTTAGATCTTTGATAATTTCAATTTTGGTTTAGTACATGGTGAGAGATATGGCTCTAGGTTCAATTTTTGACATGTGGAAAGGCAGTTTTCCCAGCACTATTTATTAAAGAGGCTATCTTTTCTCTAGTGACAGTGTTTGGCCCCTTTGTCAAAGATAAGGTAGTTGAGTGCTTGGCGTTGTTTCTGCATCTTTGGTCCTGTTCCACTGATCCTCAGGTCTGGTGTTTTTTTTTGTTTTTTGTCTTTTTGAGACAGGGTCTCACTATGCAGTTCAGGCTGACCTTGAGCTCACTTTGTAGTGCAGGCTGCCCTCAAACTTGCAATGATCCTCCTGCCTCAGCCTCCCGAGTGCTGGGATTACAGGCGTTCACCACCACGCCCGGCTGGTCTGTTTCTTTAGTTAGTACCATGCTGTTTATCATAGTAGCTTTGTGGTATAACTTCACATTGGGGATTATGACATCCCTGCCTTGCCCTTGTTGCCCAGAATTGCTTTTTGCTATTCTATGTCTCTTCTGTTCCATATGAATTTTATGATTGTTTTCTCTAGTTCTGTGAGATATGCTATTGGTATTTTGACTGGGGTTGCATTAAATCTGTATAACAGTTTTGGAAGTATGGCCATTTCACTACATTGGTTCTGCCTAACCAAGAACAGGAAATATCTTTCCATTTTCTGATATCCTCTTCGATCTTCTTCTTCAGAGTTCTGTAGTTTTCAATGTATAGGTCTTTCACTTCCTTTATTAGATTGATTCCTAA